GTCATTGCCGATGCCGACAACGAGCACCTCGGATCACCACTTACTCACTAAGTAAGATGACTGAGGTGGACTTCATTTACAAAGAACAGCTGCTGAAACTGCTAAAAATATTAAATGTAGCGCGACGATATAAAATTGTAGGAGTTGCAAATGAATGAGTAAGTAAGACTTTTCAAGTGAGAAGTATTGGGGCTAAGTACGCTTTTGATACGCGATGCCCCGCGAGGAGGGACCTTTTCACTGTCCCTGTTTTGCCACCAACTTTGCTTTTTGTCAGAAAAGGGCGGCAACTCTATTTGTCTATTTGTGTGAGAAATTGCAAGCTGCACTCCTCCAGCGCTCGCTCCCATTTACATCGCCGTGTTTCCTCATCCTCCTCCCATCTCTCATTTCTGATCGCCATCCTCCTCTCATCAACGCGAGCTGTCCCAAGCACTCTCGGCACTCGCCATTGCGAATTATGTCCGCTGCTGAAAACAACTCTTCCGCCTTCAGAACCAACCCAACTGCACACTCACCTCCCAATTCACCTTCGACGTCTCGTTCTCTTAACCTTCCTGAGCCTCCTTCCCCGATCCAACCCACATCATCTAATTCTTTAGCTGACGCCGACTCGGGCGAAGCACCACTATCATACGCGTTGACTCGACCTCCCAAGAAGCTGAGGCCCCCTGTCTCAATCTTTGACCTGCCTTGTCCTCCAACTGCCGCTCCTCCGCAGGATAATGACGAGTTTTCTTCGCATCTCGATGCGCTCGAGAAGATGTTAGAGGAAGAAGACACCGGCGCGATCCCGACCGGCCTCGAGATTGGCCCACAGATCCTAGTCGAGTCGCTGAACAAGAAGCGCGTGAGATCTTTAGTCACACAAGGGCAAACAGACCTTTCATCGTCACTGTCGTCCGAGGGCAGCGGACCCATTGCGAATGACCTTACCCAAGATACCGATCAAATACTCTTTGTGGACACTGCTCCTCCATCCTCGATACTGCCTGCGCACAAGAAGGTGCACTTTGCACCAGGATTGGACAACGAGCAAGAGAACAAAGCTGAACCAATATTAGTCGTGATCGCAGATGGCGATGCAATTGATACAACTGATGATAAGGAAGCGGGCCTTAAGCGAGATCGGGACGTAGATCAAAAGGTTGAACAGGCCCCAAAGCCGAACAAGGAGCCACGCTTGTCTCCACCGCAGAGCGCATCATCCAATGAACCATCTAACAGTTCTGCCAGCGCGGCTGTGGGAAGGAACAAAAAGGGTAAGGAGCCTGTAAGATCAGTCGCCAGCATGATCGGCTCGAGACGAAAGCCGGTCGCGGCACACTCTTCCGCAGCTAGTAGATCTTCAGTTCCGACTGCCAGGACTCCAGGGTCAACTTCTAGGACTTCAGCCGCACAGCGAACTGCACCCAGCGTCATTACTCTAGACGAGGACGAACGCGTGGGCCCAGATAGGACGGATGAGAAGGCTATCCCTGAAGCGTCGTCTGCACCGCCAATACCAAAGAGCACAGGAGAGACCAAGCCGACATCCTCCCCACTATCATCTCTCAAGCTGTATGTGATTCCTACGCAGATGGACAAGGTGGTCTTCAGTACTATGTGCGAGCGTGTGCTTCAACTTCGAGGTGAATGGCTCGGTCCCAAGACCAAGGTACTGGCGACGGATCCACGAGTGAAGCCAGACATTCCAGCACTGGATCAAGAGAACACGACTCATATTGTTACAGCGCTATCCAATATCGAGGCTGTGAAACGGTTTTTGAACGTCAGTGAAATCAATGTGGGTGTAGACTATGCTCTGGACTTAATATTTACCTGTTGAATCATTAATGAATCATGCTATTCATGAACGTTTTTTCTCATTTATTATCACTCGATAGCCAGCGATCGCGATTGTCAATCGAGAATGGTTATCCGATACTATTATGGTAGATGGGTGTTCTTGTAGCGCGCGTAAACGAATGATGATTTTGATATTTAAGACAGACAGCCTAATATTGTCTTGAATTCTTTATCTCTTTGACGACCAATTTCAGTACAAGAGGCCCATGGAGCCGAAACCGTATGTCCTCTCGAGGCCCGAAATCCCAATGCACGTCAGCTCACCTCAACAGGATACTCCACCTCCTTCTCAGACCAATCTGAATCAGATCAGAAGGAGAACCAGCATCACCATCGATGGCCTTTCTGTTGACAGCAAACATCAGCTCAATTTCCAGGAAATTATGCAGGGTATCCAAGAGGGTTCGCTCGGGGTAAGTGACCGTGTCATTAATGCTTCTCTTTTGCAAACTACTTTTCGCTGCGGAGTTTCTAAGTCGTGTCCGACTTTGATTTCTGCAATAGGACGATGAGTTTTCTGAGAGCGACGATAATGACGATGGACATTCAGACAGCGACGTCGAAGCAGAAGAGGCCGGGGCAGAGGAGGCTGAAGCCGCGGACGAAACCGCCCGAGCGACGGGTGGTGCGAAGAGTGACAGGAAGGATGACGTGAGTCAAGAAGGTGGCCTGCGCGGCACTCATGGCCTGACACAGCAAGAGGTCCAGCGGCTGAAGCGAGAGAACCGCTGCTTCAGATGCAAGGAGGTCGGCCATTGGGTGGACCGCTGTCCACAACGTACGCCGGGGTCGACCAAGGACGAGGTCTTGCTGCAGATCATCAGCTCTGGAGTCCCAGAGGTAAGCGCTTTCAGCTATGTGTTGCGCTAGAGAGTCGTGTTGGAGATGCTGTAGCCGGTTGTTCTAGGCTGATTTCTAATTTCATTTATGGATGGAACAGGGAAAGAGGCGACGCAAATACAAGTACCAGTGCGAGTCACCTCATGTAACAGGCAGGAAGGACGAGCCGCGCTACAATAGAGCAATTATTGAACAGGTACAGCTGGACGTTGATGTCGTTTTGTCGAAAGAAGAGCCTTCGCCAAGTGACCTAAGACCTTTATTTACTCGCTTCATCTTCCTTGACTTGGTACCAACGTCCTTTAGCTCAAGATCCTCATGGATCATTACGACAACATTCAGACGAAGGGCTCCAACGAGCGTTTCAAAGTCATCAACTATCGCAAGGCGATCACTGCTATCCGTGCTCTGGACTATGAGATTACGTCTGAAGAGATGGCACTCAAGGTCCCCCGTGTCGGCAAAAAGATTGCTCAAAAAATCGGCGAGTGCGTCTCACTAGGCAGGATTAAGAAACTCGATCACCTGAACTGGGACAATGAAAGGCAGCAGGTGGAAACACTATTCAAGAGTGTCTATGGTGTCGGCTCGGAAAAGACCACGGAGTGGTACAACAAGGGACTTCGGACACTCGACGATTTGAGGAAACTGCCAGACTTGACTAAGAATCAGATATCTGGATTGAAATACTACGATGTAAGGATCGATTCTTAGCGTCTCTGCATACATGCCTCTGTTTTAGAGTGCGTGTGCTAACCATATAATGTTCCCTTAGGACTTACTCAAGAGAATCCCACGATCAGAAGTCGCGCAAATCGGAAAAGTTGTCGAAAGCGCCGCCAAGCAGCTCCATCTTGATATCGAGTCCCGGGTGACGGGCTCATATCGCCGCGGCAAACCCGACTGTGGCGACATCGATATTGTTATCGCGCGGCCCAACGTCGACAATGGGGATGAACTCTTTGCAATCATGAATCACTTAATGCGCGAACTCATCAACCAAGGATTTCTCGTCGACCACCTCTCTCTACCTACGTGGTCGGATGATATGGCTAACAGACCAAAACATTTCAAGTACATGGGAATCTGCAAGTTGCCTGGACCAGATGCTGTGCACCACCACATTGATATCCTTATTGTTCCCTGGATACATCTCGGTGCGGTCCTCCTTTACTTTACGGGTAATGACATTTGCAACCGCAGCATGCGACTATTGGCAGCCAACCGCGGCATGCGACTGAGTGACAAGGGCCTATTTGAGGGTGTGATTCGTGGCAAGAATCGAAAGCGAGTTAACGAGGGGCGATGGGTCGCTGGTCGGACCGAACGCGAAATCTTTGAATATCTCAAGATCGATTATCTTGAACCGTATGAACGAGAGTGCTGAGCACCCCTCGCTAGGACAACACCTTTGTGATGGTCTTTGTAAACATCTGCTTCATTGTCTTTCTACTACCGCTGTAATTTCTTTTGTATCCATTGCTTTACTAGACCCTATATTCCGCTTCTGTGATACAATCGTACTCGTACCTTAATCTTCTCAACACACAGCACAGCAGATATTTGAACAAAATCGAATAAAACGTCATTCGCTGTTACTTTATTCGCGACATATTTACATTCTACGCGGCGAACACGACATGGCAGACGTTCAAATGATTTGGCTTCCGCGCATGTGCACATTGTCTTCATTACTTCTTGTACCATCTAAAGAGAGGTACGGTTCCATTGGTGGCATCGCGGTAGAGGTAACCGGTAATACCCTCGGACTTGTATCCAGCGCTTGGGGCGAGCTCACCACTGGGATCAATGGTGTAGAAGTGGTCGTGAGTGTCAGCATGGTACCAGCGATACAGGGGAATGGTGCCATTGGTGTTTGCTGGATAGAGATAGCCAGTGATGCCCTCGAACTTGTATCCAACCTCTGGTGCGACTTCACCTTTGGGATCAGTCGTGTAAAAGTGGTCGCCGTTGGTGCTGAACCAGCGGAGCAAAGGGACAGTTCCGTTGGTGGGGCTTGGGTACAGGTAGCCGGTAATGCCTTCGAGATGGTATCCGGCCTCCTGAGCGACCTCGCCTTTGGGATCGGTAGTGTAGAAATGGTCTGGCATTGTGATTGGACTTTGGGAGTTGGTTGGTTGGTTGGTTGTTTGCCTGGCTTGAGAGGATGTGAATTGGAAGTCGAGTGGTGAAGAGGAAGGAAGAGGGGAAGGACAGCGGAGCTTCCTATATTTATGGACCTCACGAATGGAAGGCTGATCATGCAGCAAACATCCTGCATACGAGTACGCACAGGGCTCGAAACCTTTGGTCCAAATTTATTTCATCTCCGCGGGGATAATTTTTGATGCAAGAAAAGGCGTGCAGCGTAGCCGTCGTATGCTGAAGTCAAGCGCATGGTCGCGTTCTGGGCCTTCCTTCCTCTCTTTTGTTTACTCTACTGTTCGTCCACTTTCGCTTTTCCGCTGAAGCATCAACTGTTCCATTGGCGTAACATACCCGACTATTGCTCAGATCCCCGTCGATGGAGAAAAGCATGCATCAATGCGTGCCCAATCAACGCCACATGAAAAGAAAATCGGGGTATATCCATAGCAGCAGAGCACGTCTAGAACAGGCATCCGCGGAGAATGTTATGGGTTCTTTCTCGGCGACGTTGACGAAGAGACATAATAGAATGATGTGGGAGATGGTACAAAGAGAAAGATGAGGGGGAAAGTGGTCCAGAACCTGTCCTCAACAGCGTTCGCAAGATATTACGACTATATCGCTTCTGTTGGCGAGATTACAGGTCGTTCAAAATACCAGAGAACGCTGCTCAAAGAAAGCGCACCAATGAATAAAGAAAAGGAGAGATCAGCCGCCGGTCAAGTCTATAGTGAAGAACTTTGATGACATTCATGACTGCAATAGCCACTCTATGAGGCAGACTGACATTATACGCTGTCAAAAATGGGTAGGGATTGGGCATTGAACGCGTCGACATAACTGGTGAACTGACGCGCAAAAATGGTCCTTCGGGCGCGTCAGCTCGGCTATTGAGCACGAGCGAGGAGATGAACAGGCCGAAATAATTTGTTGAGCACAATAGGTGATAAAATAAAGGGCCACCACGATCGTCTGCTTATAACACTGGAAACTGCGGGGAGAATATGACAATGCAACCGCGTTCCCTTGTTCAAGACTTTGTATGTGTTTTAGGAAACGCTTACCCGCTCACTCTTCAAAGCAACACTCTTCTTCATCCTCAAGGTACTATGCTGCGACTCAGGGCCTCGATCTTGGAAACTGCTCTCAAAGTGCGACGCTACCGCCTTGATCGCCATCATCGCTGCCACCAGTGCCACAGTAGCAATAATACCACAAGCGCGACCGCACCTACACGTCCGTACATCAATACCAGTCAACTTCATTATGTACTCAAGTATGAGAAATCACAATCGGATAAAACTCGGTATCAAAAGCATAGCCCAAAGAATTGGCGTTGAGTGAATGACGAGATCTGCAGTTAAAATAGCGAATATAACACTGAGGCGTTCAGAATGGGTGACTTTCCCCGACATTGTCGAAGACGATGTCTGTGAAGTCAGGGTGTAGAGGCAGTTTTTATTTCTTTCTTTATTTTTTTATGTTTTTAAGCTTGTATTGGCCCGACTCAATTTAAGAGAGATTAAAATTTCCTCTATGCTTTTTGTGTTTGCATTTGTGGAGGTTGGCACAAAATCCATGCAATATAAATTGTAAATTTTTATCTCCCTTGAATTGAGTCGGGCCATTCTAAAAAAAAAAAAGCAAAAATTATACATTGCACGTGCTTTGAGTTTATCTGCATCGCGGTCACAGTGTTTACACTTTTTCTTTTTTTTTTTTTTGTCCCAAAGGGAGCTCTACGCACTTACTTGTTCACCAAAGCAATATCCTTCTACACACTTCCGGCACCATGTTCGCTATCCCAGGGTTCAACGTGGGAAACCTTGTTGTCGAGGCTCCAAAGGAACAGCTCAAGAAACGCAAGCATGACGCTGTTTCGTCGGTTACCAGCATCAGTTCAACTAGCTTTACGAAAACTGCAGAAACCACCACTACTGCGACAACAACCAGCACGACCACTACCAGCACAACAAACAAAGACACATCAGCATCCTCTGTGCTTCCGATCGCACTTTCAACCTCCAATGCTCCGTTTTCGAAAAAGTTTAAAAAGGAACCGGTATACGAGAAACGACCTCCTTCCGAACCCAAGCTGGGTTGGGGCTGGATCCCTGAACCTGTCCCTCTCAAGGAACGAGCATCTTGGAACAGATCCACCAAAGAACTGAGAAAAGCGAAGGCTCAGGAGGAGGAGGAAAAGAAGAGGGCTAAATTGAATGCGATTTCGGGCCCTGCCGCCGCTGCCGAGCTGTTATTGCAAGGTGAGGTCGATCTGAAGGATATTGCAGGACTGGAAGGCAAGGGCAAGAAGAAAAACAGCAGTATCAGTGGAAAGGACAAGGGCGGGGACATTATTATGGCCGATGCGATAGAGAGTCAACATCAAGGAGAGCAGGCAGTACTCAAAAAGCGGAACAAGCGACTGGAGAGGAAGATCAAGAAGGCTGCCTATATTGCTGCTATTGAGTCTAGTAAATCCGCTGCTGTTGTCGATCAGGAAACATCAGCAGAGGAATCGAGAGAAAAAGCGGTTGAGGACAATGGTGAGAGTGGCGATGCGGATGTTGCAGAGCCCGAGAATTCAGTCGACTCGGAGAAGAAAATGAAGAAGGAGAAAGTACTGCAAAAAAAGAAGGAGATCCATCCAGAGCTCGCAAAGCTTACCAACAAGGAAAGGAGATTGTTGAAGCAATTCCAGAAAAGGCAGGAGCAGGAGGGCATTGATCTGACCACCAAGGCTGTACCGGAGCTATTGCACGGGGAGAAGAAGGGCAAGGCTGCTGCCACTCCTGCTGCTGCCACCCCTGTTGTCGCAAAGGGCACGAACAAGAAGGACAAGACTGCTAGCAATGCCTCAAGGAAGCAGCAACAGCTCGCCCAGGAGCGCGAGAAGCTGTTGGAGGTAAGAGCTGCGCCATTTGTAACCTATCAGTTATTGGAACGCGATATGCAATAGAATTGACCATATATTCTCATTCTTCTAGGCCCTTAATCGCACCAACAGCGCTCTGGCGGAACTTCAGAGCTCGCTTGGCAATGGAGATGAGGATGAAACACTGATGGATGAGGCAGATATCAAGTCAACAGTGCAGAACAAGAAGAATAAGAAGGAGAAGGAGACGACGACGACGTCAGCTGCTAAAAAGGAGAAGACCGCGCCTACGTTGGCAGCAACGCTCGCTCCCGCTCCCGCTTTGGCCTCAGTTCCAGTAGCAAAACAACCCAAGCTGACAAAACTCCAGGAACAGATGAAGAAGACATTGGCTGGCGGCAAATTCCGTTTCCTCAACGAGCAGCTCTACACGACCACTGGCGAGGAGGCGTTCGATCTCTTTCAGTCTAAACCCGAGCTTTTTGACGAATACCACGAGGGCTTCCGATCGCAGGTTGAGGCGTGGCCTCAGAACCCCGTTGATATTTTTATTGCTCAGCTGCGACAGATGCCCAAGGATACGGTCATTGCGGATTTGGGGTGCGGTGATGCCCAGATCGCCAAGGAGTTGACCAAGCACAAGGTCCTGTCGTTTGATCTGGTCGCCAAGAACGAGCGAGTGACCGCGTGTGATATTGCACATCTGCCACTGGAGGACGCCTCAGTGGATGTGGCCATCTTCTGCCTGAGTTTGATGGGCACGGACTTCTTGAAGTTCTTGAAGGAGGCATTTAGGGTTCTGAAGCCCAAGTAAGACATCATTTTTGTGCTTCTCTTGGAGTGTTTACCAATGGTTAAATGCTTTCATAACCAATCTAACGCTTTTGTTCATGTTTTTTCTCTGAAAACCAAAGTGGACAACTCAAGATTTCCGAGGTGATCAGCCGCTTTACGGATGTGGATGCCTTTGTGGCCGCATTGAAGTCACTAGGTTTTGAGCTCAAGCACTCGGATTCTTCCAACAAGATGTTTATCATGTTTGATTTCATCAAGCCAGACCCTAACGTCCCAAGCAGCAAGAAGAGCAAGAAAGGAAGCAAGAAGCAGAAAGTCCAGGAGGATTCCCCGGTCGAAGAGATCAACCCTTCAGAAGGCCCTTCATTGCTAAAGCCATGTATCTACAAGAAGAGGTAGAAGATGGAACAAAGCCATGGGCGACATCCTAGACATTCATCTGCATATAATACAATAAACACTTTTCAATGTTTGCATTATTTATTGTGTTGACGCTGCTCCCTTTATCTCTTGTTTGGGAAGCGGTAGATTTTTACCACAGTGCATATAGCCCATCCCTTCCACATCCAACACCTGCGTTGTCGGCGTTATTTGCAGGGACTACATACTCCCCGTATTCACGGTTGCCTGACCGGGCATCTAGGCATGCCACCCGCGTCAACAACGCATCCGAGAGCGCCAACCTTCTGAGTCGCATCTCCTGCTCTGCGTGCTCCAATTTCTCTCGCATGCAATTCACAACTTTTAATGCCTCGACAGCAGCTAAAGCACGTGTAGCAGTTGCCGGCGCGCCTTTATCTTCCATATCCGCATTTGTTGGCAGTGTCCACAACTGCGATTCTACATCCTCCATCGATGAAATGTGGATCATAGAGGAGCTCGCACCACTCATGCGGCGCTTGGGATCAACATCTGAAGATGAAGATGCAGTTCTATCGCAAGGCTGGGACTTGGGCGATAGCAAGAGAGAGCGTACGCTGTCAGAGTCAGAGTCGAATTCAGAATCCGTGCGTAGTGGCCAAAATGACGTCCGCGTTGACGATGTAGGCGTCAATGTCGAGAGTGATTCGAACGTAAGTTCCGTTGCGGGTATTGTTTGTTTCAACTCCAGTACATCCGGCCAAGTAAGTTGATCTGTAGATCGTGGGTAACCTTGGTTCGATTGAAGGACGACATGCTTCTTCGGTCGGCTCTTGATTGACCGGAGCAGCCATCCCGGCGCTGTGTCCTTCGACTGTTCGCCGATATTCTTAGCCACGTCGTCATGCTTGGTACGACCTTCTATTGGGCTGCAGATTGCTTCTTGAGAACGATAGTACTTTTCCATGCGGCTGATACACAGCAAATCCTGATAGATTGTTTTGTGGAAGCCGTCAGTCGGTCTGTTAGTGCTCGGATTTACATGAGCGATCGCTGCCGCTCGCGTTGGTGTCACGCCAAGGAAATTGAACATCAGACTGCATTGCGTCTGAGATTGTTGTAGACGCTGTTGAATGATGGCCGAGGAGGAAAAGATGATATCATGGTAATGCTGGCGCGCTTTGAGGTCGGACTGGACTGCATGATCGAGGATCAGTTTTGAGGACTTGTAGGCCAATGCGGCAGCGAGGAACTTGCGTCTATTTGAGTCCATTTTTTTCTTTTTCTTTTTCTTTTTCTTTTTCTTTTTCTTTTTCTTGGATGAAGGAAGAGTGGTTGCTACGCGTTTGCGATGCTACAGTGGGTACGTTTATTAAACAACATCGAGAAGCATTCACGATGTGTGTTTATTGTGGATCTTTTTCTTCGGTTCGTTGTGGACACATTTGCGTCCTTTACTTTTCTGGCGCCTCTGTCCCTTTGTCGATCACATTTTCTGTATACAAGCAAACTATACAGGAATACAGATAAGAAATGTAATAACAAAGGCAGGAATCTTGTCCATAGGCTTTACTGTTTGTATCCAAGGGTATCCATTTTATTTGCATGGTACGGTTCTTGATGTGCCTGCATCTACGATATGATCCACAAGAGGACCAAAGACATCCGAGCAAACAAGCCGTGGATCGAGAATGGGATATATACAGCTTATCTAATTGTGGCCTAGATGTTAGTGAGCGAACCATGGGATGCAATTTCCACAGACATCCCTACAATGGTAAAGAATGAAAAAGATGCGCTAATCTATAGCGGATCGTGTTTGCGTCATTTGCAGTGCTGGAAGGATCTCTTGTCTCTGGGAACGAAAGGTAGCGTTGTTCATGGTTGTCTCGCGTTTACCTAGACCACACAACGACGGATGTCTAACTCGAAGTAGTGTCCAGTATTGTTGTTTTTGGAATAGGGTTGTGAGCATTGGATTTGATGAACCAACTGGGTCGACGAAAACATGATGATGGGTATATCATGCTGCAGCCTCAGTAAACATTAAAACCCAAGCATGGAGGGGCCGGGGTGCAAACAAAGTAGCTCTGGATGTGTATACTTCATATCCTCTGCCCAGATAGCTCTTCTTTATCCTTCATCTCTTCATCACATCATCTCTTTTCCCGATCGAATTCCTTGCATCGCCCACCATTCCTTCTTCCTTTTTCTCAACCGGCACCTCAATCGACCTTCTTTTCTCGTCCACACCCCATGCGCCCAAACGAGAGGGACGAGGTAATACAGCAATGCCACAGCCACACCTTGCAAATATCACATCCACACACACTCAACTAACACTGTTATGCTCGTTCCCGCCTGTCCCCTCATCCTCATCAGTCGACAGTGGTCGACCTGGCCTCTCTAAACTCTCAGGGACAGCAGATACCTCGTCAGCAACAACCTCGTCAACAGCGCACCCAGGGGCCTACCGCCCCTACGGATCCCTCTCTCTCCAATCCTGACCTTGTCTTTGACCACCTCGCCTCCCTTGACTCTTCCAGCCTGGATCCACCCCCTGCAGCTGCAGGTTCAGGCGCTAGCAACAACAATAATAACAAAAATGCTAGAAACTCTAGGGGCCAGAATCACCAATCAAGGGCACCCAAAAACGATGAGCACAAGGATTGTCCTCGCCATACAGAGGGCCATCCGCCCAACAGATTAACGACACGCGAGCTGGGGGGAAAGAGGGTGGTCTCGTTGTTCTATGGGTCGGATGTCGTTCTGTTCGATACCATCATGACCTACCGACTCGGCAACCCCGACAAGCGTGTCGAGGATGCGATTGATGCCTTCAGTACGTTTCCTACCGAAAAATGCATACTAGTGTTCCTGAACGGGAGAGAAACCTGACAAATCTCAAGGGTGAAACTAACACCTGTTATTCTTACGTTTTTTTCCCTCTATTCGCACGGTTCTTCTGGTTTGTCCGCTGGTTAAACAGGTGAACATCAGGGCGCTGATGCGTTAGCCAACATCGTTTACGAGACCCAGGCCTTTGACATGATCTTCAAATACCCAATCCCTGAACACCTCCGCAAGGTGTCAGACGTGCCTCCCGCCGTCGGTCTTGGACCAAGTCTTTCGGACATTGAGATTGATTCTACGAGCAGCGATGCAGTGGCCCGCAAGGAAGAGAGGCTGGAGAAGCAGCGCCAGCTTCTCAACCAACAGGAAAAGGAACGACTTGCGGCATTGGAACGGGAGAAAGACGTAGAGGCTGCACCAATGGACTCAAAGATCGCAAAGGCTGAGGAACTGGAGCGCCTTCAAATTCGGTTCAAGAAGGCAATGCTGCGGGAGAGTCTGGTCATTGAGGAGGAGCCCAATATCGATGGCGACGAGATGTATATGAAGGTGTACGCGCCCTTCTGGAGATTGTGTATTGAGGCCCAAAGGTTGCGATACAAGGTCGAGCTCACGGTATGCCCTTGATAATTCTTATATAACCTGTCCGAGAGTGCAGTGTTTATTTTTGAATCAGGAGAAGAATGCTCGGAATTTCTATGGCCCTCTATGAGAGATTATTCACCAACTAATTTTACTGCGTGCTCTTCCCTCCCTCCAAATTTCCATAGCATATCCCAACGGAGAAGGAAAAGGCTGCTTCTGATGCTGCCGTGTCCAACGCTGAGGGTCGGGGAGCCTGGGCCCGTCGTTTCTGGCAACTGATTCAGCGATTCGACCATGTATCGTTGCCACTTCGCGCCGAGTCGCTACTGTTCAAGGCGAGCAAGCTGAGACAGTACGCTTTGGCAGAGAAGAGCCGTAAGTGGAGTGATATTGTCCGTCATGGCGGAGGAATCCAGCCCGATGGATCGGGTGTGGGGTCCAATATGGGCACTGACGGCAAGGACGGATTCTTCGGTACTGCCCGACGCGGCAATTTGGTAAGTCTTTTCAAAGCCCCCTGGGGATCCAATACGCATCCAAAGTTGGGCTGTAGCAATGCATATGACGTTGAATGTCGTACACACTCTTCAAGGGAGGGGGGGGGGGGGGGTTTCTTCGTCTAATCGTGTTCTTTCATCTACATCTAGACGGAGAGCATTGTTATCCGCAGTAAGATTAGGACCAAGCGAGGCGATCGCTATGCCCTCAGAACTGTAGTGGATAAGAAGGCTATCACGGACATGTTCACTCTCCATGACGGCTCCTACAAGTCCAAGGTCAAACCGATTCCCAACAGACGCACACTTCTCTTCAATGAATGGATCAGGATACGTCGCCCACAACCGCTGGAGGAGATCCGATTCTACTATGGCGAAAAGATTGCGCTTTATTTTGCCTGGATCGACTTTTACACTAAATGGCTAGTCTCTGCTGCAATTGTCGGATTCGTGTTCTTGATCTTCGGATTGATCAACTACTTTTATTTGAAGGGGGATGCCTTTTTGCCCAACAACGAAGTGGGTGCACAGTTGGTGGACATTTTCGACAATGCGCTCACACTGCCCTTTACGCTGTTCATGGCGGTCTGGTCGTCGCTGTTTGTTGAGTACTGGAAGCGAAAGAGCAATGTGCTCGCGTACCAGTGGAACACCCTGGACTTTGAAAGACATGAGAGAGCACGGCCGGAGTTCAAGCCGACAGGAACGAGGATTTCGCCTGTGACAGGGAAGATGGAGCTGTATTATCCGCGGTACAAGCAGCTCATTTCGATTATAATCAGCATCTTAGTCGTCTTGATCTCTGTAAGTCCAAGTGCATTTGCGACCAGGAATTAAAACAAAAAGACGAGGTCGAAGCAGTGCGGTATCTAACAACGCTTATTTCTCACATACCATCAACCCAGATTGCTATTGTCATCGTATCTGTGGGATCGCTGATCCTCCTCAACGTTTGGCTAAAGAACGGACATGGTCACCTTAATTCATATGTTGTCACTGTCATTACCGCTATCTTGAACTTGGTCGTTATCATGATCCTTGGCACGGTAAGCGACCATGAGACATGCTGTTGTATTCGAGCATCTTTGGATCTTCGTGTAAACCGAAGATTGATTTTTAACGGCTTGTATTTTATGTTGCGCTGCTGTAGGTCTATTCAAGGATTGCAAAGATACTTACGGACAATGAGAACCACCGACGATTGACCCAATACGAAGGTAGGCATGAGAAAGAGGATTCTTATCGGGCACCCCACCCTTCTCAGTATTCTCCGACATCTTGTGGTCCGCCTGAAACTTAACCGCAACGTCTCTGGATCTCATGTTTTCTCATTTATGCTAGATGCGCTGATCGTCAAGCGCTTCCTATTTGATTTCGTCAACTTTTACTCTGCTCTGGTCTACATTGCCTATTTCAAAGACAACATTGGCAGTACTCTGATCAACAAAGAGGAGTTTCATGATCGATGTCCAAATGACTCCTGCATGGGTGAGCTGACTATTCAACTGGCGATTGTCTTTGTTGGTAAGCAATTCCTGAACCAATTCCAGGAACTAGCTGTCCCACAGGCCAAGAAGTGGTGGAACCTCAAGAATGAACTGGCGGAAAAGACAGTGCTCAAGGGCAAGTACAAGGACAAGAAGAACATGGTGAAACCGCCTCAGTGGGCCAAGGACGACACGTTACCCAACTACGACCCCAGCATGTTTGAGGAATATCGCGAGCTGGTGATTCAGTTTGGGTTCTGTACACTTTTTGTTACCGCCTTTCCGATCGCGCCCATCTTTGCGCTGCTGAACAACGTGCTGGAGAGACGTGTGGATGCGTACAAGCTGTTGACGCAGCATCGTCGGCCCATTGCACAACATACTCAGGATATCGGAAGCTGGAGCATCATTCTTATGCTGCTGACGCACGTCTCGGTGCTGACGAATGCCCTCCTGATTGCGTTCCGGTCGAAATGGATGGAGAACAATGTTTTCATGAAGTTGCCATGGGTCGCGCAGTCCGGAGACAACATGTACGCGCTTTTGGCCGTCCGTCTGCTGTTTATTTTCATTTTTGAGGTAATGATTACGGATGGAAAATAAGAATGCGCGAAAAATATATGTATCTCAAAATTAACCTTTTCTCTACGTTTTTCATCATTAGCACCTGGTGTTCATTTTCAAAGTGGGAATCGCCAACTTGGTCCGCGACCAGCCACGCACGGTCAAACTGGCAATTGAACGCGAGAACTACTACGCGAGGCTTGCGCTGGATGATGAGGAGCCTGCAATGGATGAGGTGCTCGAAGATCATGACACGGACACGGACGAGTCGGAAGACGAGGACATTTACGATCTCCATAAGAAACTACTGGATGACAACTATACCAACTACGAGGAGAAGGATGGTATTCCTGGCGGCGGCTCGACTTCGCCTTCGGGCGATGGCAACGACCGTCTGGGGGATCCTGCAGCCGATGACGAGGAAGACGAGGAGGAGTTGGAGGCGCTGATCAAGGCAGGCGGATGTGGATGTGCGGCGCATGGCGACGGCAATGTAGGAACCGCTAAGAGTGGATTTGAGGGCACATGGATGAGTCGATTCAAACCCGATGCGCAGGCGGCGCTTAGACGGCGACAGCAGAGACGCAAGAGGAAGCAGAACGCGAAGAAAGCGGTGGACGAGATCTAGTGCATCCGAATGCCGACCCCATTTCTGATTAATAATAAACAGCTACAGAACAATAGACAACTTACGAAACCAATTTGATAGAATGCTTGTGCTCTTCAACAGGCACGGTCGAGGTATAATCTGGGACTGAGTGAATGAGCGACAGGTAGCATAATTACATCTGAGGGTTGTTGATGAGCAAGGTTCACCAACTAGAGTAAAGTTCATGCGCAAACGTATTTTTACATGAGAATTCGAAAAGTGAAGTTGGAGATGGATCCTCAACCACAGCTTGTGAAGATGAGGATCCATCTCCAATTTCAATAAAGCCTTCTCATTCGCTTGTAACCCATCAACTCCTCTTTACCCATCGTTCCCCAACCATGAGCTTCACACAGGTTTCCTTCTCGTCTTTGACCATGCACCAACACCAACAAGTGCTCCTCCTTCAACATCCGCTGCTGTCGTAGCTCATGTTGTTGTTGCAGTTGCTCTTGATGGGTTTGGACAAGCGGATGGTGTCAAACAGTAGTCCCAAAATGGCTGCCATATCCATGAGAACTTCTGTCTGGAGAAATGGCGAAGTCACAGCTGCAGTGCCCTCTGGTCTCTGGGAGGATGACACGAGCACAAGAAGTTGACTGAACGTAGACGAAAAGTACAGCCACATATATAGCTACATATACAGTCGCGTGTCGCACAAAGCTACAATATCTTTGTGCACATAAGGGACTCAGCGTAGCATGTGACTGAATAGGTGATTGTATTTTTCGTCTTTAGAATAGTCCTTTCAGAGGTTTAATTCCAATTAGAGTTATCGGCCCAATTTTACAGATGAAATGGGCCGATAAACCAGTTTCGACTGTATGTGTGCATGAACGTTAGGGTTTTTGGGGTTTTATTTAGGGTTTTATTTAGGGTTTTTTGCAGTGATGACAAGCGGTGTTCAGATCAATAAACATTCTCTTAACCATAATTGACCAATTGTGTTGTGACAAACCCACCAACGAGCACATCTCAGCAATCAAGAAAATAGTTTCAATCTCGCAGCCATATTAGACTTTTCTATGCATGCAAGCATACATTCATCGCCTTAAAGCCATGATTGCTCAAAAAGGTAATCCTCTCTGCCCAGTGACTAACCAAACCTATTTAATGGACCATCAATTCCTGCTAAGCTCAGCATGCTCAGTTTTCAACGAGGCGATTGTTGGGGGGCAAGACTATACTAGTTTTCGCGCCATTAGACATAGACATTGGTGGGTCTAGAACTACATCCCCTGAGAGCATGGGATTTATCCTTTACTTTTCTTGCGGACATTATGTTAAAAGGCGGCTAATTTTTATTTCTAGTTTTTATTAGTATAAGTGCTTCGCTGTAGGTGTAAGGATTAAGTCAGTGAATCTCGCTTCCAAGGACATATCAATAGTACCATCTGCAAGGATATAAACAGTCAATGTTCGATCGAAATATGAACTACGAAAGAGAGAATAGGTTTGTGCTCCTGATATACCTACAAGGGTCACAAAAAAAATCGTGACATGGCTGCTTTATCAACGCGCGATGCCTCTAGACTGTAGTTTTTCTATTTCTATTAAAAAAATGAAAATTCGGCAATGAACCTCGGGTTGCTCTGTGTCGCCTTAATTTTAAGTTTAGAGTCCTCCAAGATCCAAACGGAAAAAAAGATCCCCATCCAATTCTAAATCTGGAACAAAAGGAACGAATAGGATGTCCGATCTTGACATAGAGCTTCATTACAAAAATGTATAAATGAACAAAGGTATTTTTCAAGTTTTTCCTTCAACGTCTCCGTTCTACTCTTCCTCTATACTCATATACACAAAGGTAATGCTAACATCCTTGGTTGTACCTTACAATTGTTATTAAAATATGCACTCTTTCCAACTCTGAATTCTAATTCTTCAATCAAAAAAATATCTTGTCTTTTTCATAGTAAATATATCATAATGCTTGTCAAGGCTCTTGCTCTCGCTCTTACCGTCGTGGCCCTCGTGTCGGCACAAAGTATCCCACGTACACCAACGGCCGCAGGAGGATGTGCAACTGATTTCGAGGAAATGGCATGCAAAGGAAATGTTGATCTCTGCTGCCCTATTATTAAGAAGGGGTGCCAGGAGTACCGCAAGCAATGCACCTTGAAAGGAACAAAGTCCTCTTTGATTCGAAACAAGTGCAGCCCCCCAAAGCCAGCAGGCTGTCCTGCCAACACCTTCGGATGCCCAGCTGACTATGGTGGAAACTGCTGTCCTAATGGCTCATTCTGTGGTACTATTGGAGCCGACTTTGTTTGCTTCTCTTAAATCACAAATTATCAACACCTACACCCTTCTTCCCCCACTTTCATATTCTAGTAAGGGTATGTAGTCTACATTAAACATAACCCAATAATATTAATTACTCCTATTCAAGGCAACTAAGACGAATGCTTTGCGATAAATTAAGGTTTATACGTACTTAGTAAATACAAGTAAGCACGAGACAAGAGTGGGATCTTTAATAGCACCGTCCGGTCCCCTTAAAATAGGTCGTCGGATGGTCTTTTCTATGTAATGTGATCCTAGTGAAGTATCTGTCCAATATAGCACAGCTCCCCTCCCATGGGAGGCGTAAGCCAGGTCTTCTAGCTCATATTGGGCCGATTGATTACGGTGAGGGAAAAAAGTGAAAACCTCAAGATAAATAAAATAAAATTATAAAATTCAGAAAACCTCTACATGACAATTGTAATAATCACAACAGTACAAGGCAAAAAGCAAAAGGCCTTGCGAGGGAAAGCCCGAAGAAAACCTCTGTCGCGATTCAAGGGGAAAGTACATAAAAAACCCCTTCTCATACTTCTCTATTTTCTGCTCGCTAATATGCTTCGTGGCCTGCCGCGTCCTCGTTTGCGGGGTAGCTCTCGATTAATTGCGCTTATATTGGGCGACCGCGTTTAGGTTTCGGGGTGGTTACACTATCAGCAGAATTGTTTATATTATTTTTACGTGCTTCTGGACGCTATGTCACTAGTGGCTCCTGCTGATTCTGCTTCGCCTTGTGGCTCTTCAAAGTTTGACGAGGCTGCGGTCGAGAAGGTGGTCCAGGAAGATCGCGACTCTTCCAGTAGTCTGTGATACACTTTCTCTCAACAAAGTTCTCTTCTGGTCCCCAGATCCTCTCTGTATACTCTTTCCAGCTTACGAAGTATTCCACTCCCCCCTCAGAATCATTCCGATGTTCGAGAATTTCTTCTACTTCGTAAGTGGTGTCGTCGTAGTCGTCGAGTACGAGTTTGAGTTGGGATGGGGCATACTGGCGTTGAAGCAAATCGCCAGTGCCGTCCTTCAAAACGTACGCACCGCCTGTGGTTCTACGAACAACAACGTAAGGACCTTCATACTTGGGCGTCAATTTATCACCCAAGATAGGATCGAGAGTCATGACCTTGGCTCCATCCGGAAACTCATTGTGCAGTACCGTTCTGTTGAATCGCTCAATCATTCTCTTCTGAGTGGCACGCGACTTGGCGCTCACAGCTGGGAAGACAACTTCAGTCACGTATTGAAGTCGCTCCAAGAGTTCACTATGGGATAATCGTTCATCCTTGTCGTTTGAAAAATTATGGAAGCCGTTGAAACGTCTGGCAAAGAATAACGAAAAAGGGGACGAGTTGTGCAATGCAACAATTCTTGTATTCATGGCTAATTGAGCCATGGTGACATGTCGGTCCCAATTGCGTTTCTTCGCTCTGATTTCTTTACGGATAATGTTTACAGCTGTCTTAACATGGTTCTCGGCTACGCCGCTGGCTCGAGGGCGATATGGAGTGATCAACCGATGTTGTACACCCATCTCTGTGGTCATCGCTCTCATAACCTCATTAACGAACTCTTTTCCATTGTCCGACTGCAAAATGCGGGGAAAATCAATGATGGTAAATATCTTAAATAATTTGCGCGCTACGGTTGCTGCTGTCTTATTTTTCATGGGCATGAGAAAGACGAATCGAGTGCAGACATCTACTAAAATGAGCAACATGGTGTTCCCTTTGGCACTTCCTAGGAGAGGTCCGGCAAGATCTATTGCCATGTGCTCTCCGGGTAGTTGGGCATGGATTTCAGACAGAGGATGATATCCCTTGCGTCCTATATTTACGCATTGACATTCTGTACAGCGCTGAACAAATTCTAAGCAGTCTTTAGTCATCAAGGGCCAAGTTTTGTTCAGAGAGTGAATATGATTGACCATGGCATTCGTGCCAAAATGGCCTAGCGCGTGGGTGTCGGCTAGCAATGTTTTACGTTTGTCTTCTGGCACCGTCTCTCTGGGAGTTTGCTTATCCTGGATAAGATGCATGTAGCTATAAATCTTCGTAGGTCCATTAATAGGTACTCTACTCGTCCAAAGCTCCTGTGGGAGCTGACGTGACAATGCGTCGGGTAGTACATTAAGCACTCCTGGTCGGTAGATGACTTTAAATGTGTAATCCAGGATAGTCTCTTGCCATCCAGTGAGCATAGAGTTCATCTCCTTTTGAGAATGAATGAACGTCAGTGCGCGGTGGTCCGTGTACAACGTAAAATGCCTACCCCACAAATAATAATGAAATTTCTTCAGAGCAAATACTATTCCTAGTAGCTCCTTCTGCGTTGCGGAGTGTTCCGTCCAGACCCCAAATTGGGACTGTACTGGGAGTGAACCTTCATATTTAGGCCACTTCCATTTTTATTCATGAGACTATTAAGCTATCTAATACTCCAAGCCCCAGATCGGGGCTATAAAAACCCCTACCGGGAGCATAATAAACAAACACGCTCTTTTGTCTCCTTGACTCATTCTCAGGCAAATAAAACATCACAGGTACATCATCGCCGTGAGATGGAGAGACGATGAGTGAGGGCGCGAAAAGAACCTCGCTATCGTCGCGCAAGGGAGAGGCAATCGAAAAGGCTTCTGGAGAGGAAACGATGTTGTCGGAGGTCGACCCTTCTTTGACTTCATTTTCCTGTTGGCCGCTTGTCATATTGCGATGCGCTAAGAATATAATTAAACGGATAGATGTTCTATTTATTGGTTTGTGAGGGTTCTTCGGAAAGTTGTATGACTTTCGAAGCTGACATGATGACTCCCATGGCCATTCTGAATGGCATTGCATGTGAGTGCTCTGGCTCTGTTCCTAGTGTACGTGAAAAATCCCTCACGTAGAGAACAATGCCGAATGAATTGAAATTTTTATTGTAAAATTATTTGTGCTGGGACTTTTTGACGCGGACTCCATTGTAGTATCTTCCTCAACTACGATTAAAGCTCTAATTCAAGAATCTTATCTTACCCAAGGCAACTGTTCCTGTCCTCGCCCCCAAAGGCTGCAAAAGAAACAGTTAAACGAGTAGGGGTATCTTGACCATGTACAAATTAAAGTTTATGGCCGATATTACTGACAGTTAAGACATATCACAAACAACGCAGGGATTCGCGTCCGACTATAAATGAGGACCATCCTCCCCCCAATTTCCTGCAGCATTCTACATTCACATCATGCCTGCCAGCACTCATCGATACCCTAGAACCACCCCTAACTCCATTATTCCCCTTTTGCAGGACCTCCCTCTCGTGGCTTTGGTCCCCAACGTCCACCTCGCCATGCCGCTTCAAGTCACCTTACCAATGGAGAGATCCTTTGATGCTACACCAGGCTTCAACGCGTCCGAATCTTTATACAAGCCTGTCCTAGACGATGGCCAAGAAGACGGCAACAATGCCATGGACCGTTGCATTACGCTCTCCCCATATACCAAGGCTCTGTGCATTATTGCTGCCCTCATATCCCTGTGCCTGCATCTTGCACTCCGTGCCATTGCCAGTCGACAATAAGACGGATGTTCTTTTTCCTGTGGACACGCATGCTAGACTACACACAGACCACGCGGGGATTGAAACCTTGTAGCTGAATACACATCGGAATTTTGGTGCAATACTTGATTCCATGAAGCCAAAGATGCGTTAGACCTAGGATTCTGCGAGTCTGCCAGTGCTAGGACGGAGAACTCTGTGTACGAATGATTGCGTGTTGTTCAAACGTTACAGAGGTCTGTCCACAACTCTCGCTTCGACACAGAAGACATACATGCACAATCCCTGGATCTTACTCGTCTTTGCAGATACGCTGATAGACATGATTTGATGAGCGAGAAGGGAAAGCACGCTTTTTTATGGTTGGTCGATAGGCTAGCGGACCGTCTGTCATCCTTCAGGTCCCACGTTCACACAAGGAAAGGAAAGAATCTCTGGAGCGTGCGACTCCTTGGAAGGCGCCTATTATCGGTTTATTTGCGCACATACATTCACGAATGTCTGACTTTCCAGAAACAAAAGCTGGTCAATCAAACGTCCGTCAGTATTTTATAACCGATGCCGTCAATGATCTGTACCCTGAGACGCGTGTATATTGTCATCCCATTCAGTTGGCCAACGACCGCATTACTTCATCCATTCCTTCTTCTTCTTTTTCTTTTTCTTTATTGATTCACTCTTTCTCCTTCGTTGCACTAACTCTCTCGCTCGAAAAATGTCAAAGAAAACAGCTGCCAAACAATATCTAACACGATCCAGTACCCATAAGTCGCAATCGCCAACTTCTGCTTCCTGGCACCACTGACAACCACGCCGTGGTCTCTGGTCAGGTCATGTTCAGGGCCGACCAGCCATGGTGTCGAGGCCGAGGATTTGATGGTCACCTATTCTGCCATGGTTCGAATCAAGTGGTCAGAGTAAACGAATCCCAACCACTCTCCCGAAAACAAAAGCAGCAGCAACAAATTGTCCTAATGACTCAGTTGACTAACGCGTCCTTTGAACACCGATGTAGACAAGGTTGGGAACTGCGTCTCGGGTCTCGCCTACGGGATATGGCGCAATAATGGTATCTAACTTTACCAAATTCAAGAACGTGAGCGTTTATTTTTACTTTGCAGGTGCGAAGTGCAGACAAAATATCAAAAGAACGGATGCACGGACTCACAACGATAGGCGTGCTCTGTATATAACAGGTCCCGGTAGCGGTGTCCGCTGCAGGCAAGACCCTGGCATGTTGCGATACAATCCATCTCAAGGTTCGATCCTTAGCGAATTCAAAATATGCATTCCTAAACAACGATCAAAAGAACCATCCACTGTATCACCACCATTGCCTCTTCGACTTTTGGATCCACTCTAGCTCGATTCATAGCTGTGTCATAGTCTTTTTGAACCCATGGGCATGAGAACATCTTGTTTCAGGCTTGAGCCGGTAATCTGGGCTCCTCTTTTGTACAATGTAAAAGCTGGCTTAAGTGTCCTCCATCCAGCTCTTGGATTCGAAGAAATACAGAGTGTGCTTGTTCATCAGAATAGAGCGGAGGTTGTATTGTACTAAACAAAATACATGAGCCTAAGTCAAAGATTCAACGAGCAAAAATGGCTCCTGCATCAGAGTCCACGGGTTCTTTGTTAGGTTGATGAAGCGACATGATATAATGAAGCCGCGATTGCAGATTTAGAGTGAACGAGTGCAACTCGTACTTCGCAGCGGCAATGGTTATAGGGCCAGTTTTTTATATCCAGAGGGCATGAGCCTGGAGAAAGTGTGATGTCGCACAATGACTATCTATGGCTGAAGTAATGTATAGCGAAGGGTGCTGAAGTGGCAGCTATGGGTGATGGGGTGTTACTGTGTGGAAGAGTCTGTGCGCATCTCATTATAGAATCGACCGATTTTTTAAGCGGCCGATTCCGGGCATCTCGCACGTTCGTTGGCTGTATTGGAGTTTTGCACTAATGCCTCTTCTTGTAGAAGCGTTGCTTACTGCAGTTTGAGGCACAAAGTGAGATGTACCACAGTCCTCTTCGCAGCCTGTATCCAAGGCCTCATCAGCAGTTAGATCCAACAACAGCATCAACAGCATAACGTACCGCGGAAATTCTCTGCAGCATCGCCAGTCTCAGCAACATCGAATGATGCAACCCCCACCGGAACAATGCCTTCAACCTATTCGCTCACATAATCTTAAATAACCATGGCTACAAGGCAGAGTCAAAATTAGAAGAAATACGCGTCCTCAGAATACAGCCACACAAGACAACGACACCTGGGGCACTCGAGCTGTTAAAAAGAATGTAGGGCCTGGAAACTTCGCAGCAGGAGATAGCATTAACCCAAGGAAGGACGAGACAAACAAAGGCGTTGGAAAAACTTTCGAGCGCTAGAATTGAGGAAAGAAAGAAACGAAATAGATTAGCTTTTGGACAGGGAGAATACGAAAGAGGAAAAGTGATGCTCGACTCCTTGATGAACAAAATAAAGGGTCTCAGTTATGGACTAGACATGGCGCGCGTTTTTTTTTTTTTTTTTCCTTTAGAATGCGCCTCCATATCCGCCTATTCAAAATTAAGTATTTGAGTACACTTCATGCGTGTTTGAAAAGGAACTTGTAGCGGGATTCGGATAAAGGAGTATAAAAGGATAGCGTCCTTCAGACTATCGCTGTCCTCATAATCGACTAATAGAAAAGCAATCCTCTTCTTCATATCGGAAAGAAGCTGTTTACGCTCTGCTGTGTAGGGCATGTTTTTGGAGTAAGCTGACACATAGAAGTGATGAAAAGAGATGGAGGGAGAGGATGTTTGTTTGCAAGGGTAGAGGAAAACCACACATGCTCCGTCGTGTACGCCTGGCGTATTTCGATGGTTTTGACGTAGCGCTCTGTGTACCACATAGCTGTGCCGCTTGAGATAGCCATAGGTGCGATGGTCCTGAATGAAGTGAACGAATCATCATGGCCGATTCGGTCCAGGGCGGTCATAAGTTGAACAATGACATCCGCTTGCGAACTTGAACCCATCTTGGCAAACACATCGTTCGGATTGATCATCTCAACGATGTAATTAAACTGTTGTTATGTGATGCAGAGTGCATTCTTAAAGGCCCCTCTCACACAGTTGCGAGAGTCGTCGATCTCGATAGACCGCTGACCTAGGCTTGATGACAGCAGGGGTTGGAAAAAAGTTACTCTCGTTGGCGGACGTGTTCATAGAGAACCAAGGCTAGTGAAAGAACATGAGGTATCTAGGACGAAGCGGTTTGGTACGTCAGACTGGCTGAGTCGGGGGTGAGCTTCTCTACTTTATCTAAAGCGTTCGAGCAAAAAGCTTTAGGGTATCAGTAGCTACCCCTGGGCCTCCATGGACAAAAATAAAAATTAAGAACTCATAGGATATGCAGAGTGTAGCCCACACTTCTTTAGGTCCAGATGAAGCTTGGGTTTTTCATCACGTTGTATTATTATTTCTTCCACCATAGCACTCTTTCTATGACTCTGTCGATCCTGCTCGACCTGCTCCTCTCATTCGCGCTCGCTCAGCATGACTTTTCCCCCTCTTCCACGCTCCTACACCTTCCTTGAGCTTTCTTCGCGCCTTGATCACTGCCAAATACCTGTGAAGGGTTCAAGCGTTTAAGGTAAAAGATATCAACACAGCCAGTTCTCTTCACCAAATGTAATTCGTTAACTCAAAGTAATGCTAATAATGTTATAATGTTTTGACGGGGGTTTAGACGACCGTGATAGCAAGTTCACGATACTGGAACGAACCGACAGCAACGACAGCTTGGTCACCGCGCTGGGCTTCGGTCAAGGCGTGCTTACCCCTGTACCTGGAGAGCAAAAGGCACAATTCAATGCCTTGGGGAGCAGTTTCCTTGGTAGCGAAGGTTCGTCATGTGTTTTCCAGCCGACCATCTTGATGACCAAAGCTGACGATCAACTTTTAATCCAGCAATCGCATCAAAAACTGTAAGTCATTTGCTCCAACGAATTTTTTTGGGCTGTCCCATTCTTTTCTAGCTTTAACGACCACTACCGGATCTTTATTCATAAAGCGACCTTCATGGTCAAATCGGAGTTCGAGATGTCAGGTTTGCAGCAGGAGATCAACGATAGTGCTTGGATGCAGCTATGGGAGAGTGTGATATTATCCTAGGCTAATCTTCTACTTCGCCCTCAACCACACCTTCATCACCACGCCTCCATCACCGCGCCTCCACCACTGCGCTTCCTGTACACTAGTATAAATACCTCTCTCTCTCTCTGTATAATAAACATTATCCGTTCTAGCCTTTTCCTCTTCTCCCCTGCCTCTCGTGTTTCTACCTCGGTTCCTCTTGTCCTTACACTTGTTCTCTCCCTCGTTCTGTTGCTATTACAGAGAGAATCAAGAGACCCAAGAGCTGAACTAGAAGATTATGTTGAAGAACATCACTCTTACGTATACGATCGCCAACAAGTCCCATATGGAAGCGAAGGAGTATCTACAGGTTAATCCAGCAAAAGATCACGTCCTAAACTCAATTTACGTCCATGCTACGCGAACACAAAACTATTGGAAAGGTACAGTGCGCAACAAAAAGTTCACATGGATGTGAGACTTTAGGATCACATAGAGATCCATAGAGTCATCAGATCTTCTCAAAACTTGCATAGTGGTGGAAGTAATACGAAGTGCAGTCCACTGAGGTTCTGGAGCAATCGAATGTACGAACGCAAAGTCATGAAGGGAAAAGATGAATTTTGCAACTTTTCGTTGCACACTGTACGAGGATACATTTGTTAAGACGTTCATCTCCCCGCTGCTCGACACCGCCTTGGAGGCTGTGCGGACCACCTTGGTAAGAATTCTTTCTTTCTCTGCTGGCGGTTGTGGTTGTGATCGTTAAACGTCTAAATGGCTATTGATATCCTACAATAGAACCTCAGGGTTGAGCCGAAATGTCTCGCTCGGCGAGGACTCAGGACGCGATTAGGTAGCATTTGCGATTAAAAGAAGGCATACTTCCTCCAGCATCACCCTTCCTGCATATCCATGTACATATTCTGTTCAGTTTGATAGTTTATTCTGTAGACAACAATAAAAGCCTATCTTTTCTTCTTCTTCCATGTCAAGTTCTTGACAACTATCACATGAGGCCGTTGTTACATAGTGGATTTCACGCTCATTGGTCTTAAGGCAGACGCGAACAAGATTGCCTTTAGTAGTCATTTCATCCTGACGAGAGAGGGTTGGACCCTGGGCACGGTGACATGCAAGATGAGGCAGCCGAACCTCCAGTCCTAGACCTTCCCGAATGGGTTCCTCCTCTTGTTAGGCAAGCTTTATACGCCCAACGAGCGATGGCGCGAGAGGAGGAAAGGCGCAGGACAGAGCATTTGCTGACTGCGAGAATGAAACTTATGATCTCTGGAATAGACTTGCTGTGTCTCTTACCAACAAGCAAAGAGTGTGCAGTCTGGGATATTTCCAAGATTTCATTGCCAGCTTGAGGAGCGTGGTTCATGATTCACAAGAATTGCACACTCCTGGAGCTGGACGAAAGTGCCAGTAATAATGAGGTATGAATATAGGGAGGGCGATACATTGATGAAGGGTTGAGGACGTAAACAAGCAATGATCTTAATTCCAATCTGCAACGCCCTTCGCCCGATATGGTAGTTTCGGTGACGTAATTTTTCGCGCCTCATCGATGTATATGAAGGCTTCTCTTCATTTTCCCTCTCTCTTACAATCATCCCTACCTCAGACCCATCGCATCAACACACGCTCAGCGGTAGAAAACAGGGAGCATATATTTGCGTGGATCCATCCGTTACTGATTGGTAAGTGATCAATAGGGGTTCTCTTTTTTCTCTCTCTCTATGTACCCATTGCACACTGGTTCTTTCTCAGCGGTTCCTGTTTAGTACGCGGCAGGTGGGCGGAAAGTGGAGTGCTGCTTTGGACTTTTTTCTTTTTCATTTGCTCTGAGCATTCTCCCATTGCACACTGGTTCTTTCTCAGCGGTTCCTGTTTAGTACGCGGCAGGTGGGCGGAAAGTGGAGTGCTGCTTTGGACTTTTTTCTTTTTCTTTTGCTCTGAGCATTCTCCCATTGCACACTGGTTCTTTCTCAGCGGTTCCTGTTTAGTACGCGGCAGGTGGGCGGAAAGTGGAGTGCTGCTTTGGACTTTTTTCTTTTTCTTTTGCTCTGAGCATTCTCCCATTGCACACTGGTTCTTTCTCAGCGGTTCCTGTTTAGTACGCGGCAGGTGGGCGGAAAGTGGAGTGCTGCTTTGGACTTTTTTCTTTTTCTTTTGCTCTGAGCATTCTCCCATTGCACACTGGTTCTTTCTCAGCGGTTCCTGTTTAGTACGCGGCAGGTGGGCGGAAAGTGGAGTGCTGCAGGCTGCTATCGTTGCTGGAATTCATTCACTTCCTTTATTAGTCGCCGCTTGCATGCAATGTATCTTGTCTGATTAAGTTCCTGACCATGTTCTTCATTCTCGTGTCTCTTCTGCTTCGCATCTTGTTCCTTCGAGCATCTTTATATCACTACTCCAAGCAGGTCGCAATAAGAACATGTACAAAGCGACCATTGATAATAAAAACAACAGCATGAGTGACACCTCCGTCCTGCAATGGCTCCAGGGAAGAATTACCCGCAAGGAACCCATCACCATGCCCGATTTCGCTGCAACATTCAACTACTGTTCGGAACAAGATGCCCACTCGGCTTTCTCAACCCTCCTCTCATCAACGACAATACCGCAGCAACTTCAAGTTGCACTGAAGGACAAGTACGAGATTTGGCGACGGAACGACGGCAGGAATTACTGGGCATCCCTTGTAGCATCGTCACAAATTGCGGTCACAACAAAGAGGACAGTGGCGGAGATTGTGTCTGGGTGCGAGCACGTCGCCAAGAAACTGATTCAGGAGCACAGCAACGGTATGGCACCATCGGCAGTGGCTATTCCCTCTCCGGGCCCAGCCAATGCTTCTTCCAAGGACGATTGGGAGCCCAAGAAGGTCACGTTTCTGGAGACTGAATTCGCAACAGAATCCGAGCGGAGCGACAGCAGTTATATCGATTCGAACCCATCTTCGACCCGGTCCTCCTTGAATTCCATCGATTTCTCCTTCATGAATAGGTTGGTGGGCCCAGGAACCACATCATCGCGACTCAACACCGCCGCTCGACTTTTCGTTGGACAAGTGGACGTTTCGGAACTCCTGCTGACTGCACGGAGAGCGATTGTTAAGATTCAAAGCCGGATTACCAGCGTTTCAGATCTGCTGTACGAACGGTCTCAGAGCCTGTGCTTGTCGCAATCCATCCATCTGAGCTCAATACTAAGCGTCTTTTTCTTCTGCTTGCGCTAGGGCTCTAAATTTCATCTTCAACACCGAGTTCGTGACCAAGCATCTATCCTCCGATATTTCCGCAGCGATAATGCGTGTCCATGTTCCCTCTCCAGCGAAGGATGAGATCCAAGTCTTGTCTAAGTGCTTGCTATATGCGGCCTGCCATTCGTTTCTCGAAACCAAGATCTATATTCAGGACAACACCAAAGCGAGAACCCTGCTCGGAGATCTGCTACGAGCCTACACTATCAGACCTGGTCTTTGGCAAGATCCCTCTGCCCGATTCATCGACCTGCCGCTGTTGCCAAAGAACGAAGACACATACATGGAGGTCGTCGTCAAGAACATCATCATCGGGGTTTTTGGAGACCTTGACATCGTTGATCATTGGTATGTTGCAGTTATCATTTTTCATGGATATGAGCAATGTCTTGGACAATATCTGTGTAGTTCTACTTACTGTCAATATTTTTGCCGCTTTAGGTCCCGGGATCCGCTGCCAACGCCTCGAGGGTTTGAAGAAGCATACTACCCTGATTATTATGCGGAGAAGGCCAATCTGCCGTTTATAGTCGTCGAGGTAAAGAAACCAGAAGCAAATGCAAGCAGTCTGAAAAGCGACAAACATAAGTTGCCTTGTATGATGAAGATCATGCTGGACCAACTACTAGCAGGTGGTGTACAGGATCCGGTCGTCATTGGCTATTTGATCCAAGGTATGTTATGTGTTTTTCGCTCGCTCTGCTTCAGGCCAAGGAGCTCGATTTCTCTGCTTGCAAGTTATTTATTATCTCGTTCTTACATTCATTCTCAACACTTAGCATCCCACTGCCACATCTTTTTCATGGCACTTGAATATGAAGCTCTGTACTTGTGCAAGCTCGTCGGATCGTTTGCGCTGCCAAGGAATAATCTTCAATTGGGATTGCTGCTTCCAGCACTTGGAGCTCTGCATGTGGCACATGTAAGAAACAAGTTTTTATTTTTGCAGACGCGATTGCTACGGTCGCTTGTCAGCGCCAATAACAAATCTTGCTCGGTTCGTTTATTGCATAGGACACGGCCAGAAAAACCCTTGCTGCAATCGAACGTCGCACAAACGCAGGCAACAATATGAAGAACAAATGGCAGCGTCCTTCCTATTACGTCAAAGGAATCCGAATTCCTGCCCCTCTCCCCTCAGCTGATGACTTGTAAGCATCTTGTGAGGAGCAGGCGGAAGCTAGTTGTTTGGGCGCGGACAGATGAATGGAGTTGACAGTATTTGGTTGGGCAAATAAGTCATTCCGAAACCGGAGGAAGTTCCATGAGTGATGAAGACGTGGCATGAACTTATTTTCGTCGCATGCAACTCAGTACACCGCCGGGCTTGTCTTTACCCTTTACCCACATTCCTAATAGTAGCAAGAAAGGTAGAAACCGCGTACGAAGAAAAGGATCATAAGAATAGGAACAACGGAAAAGCCTGTGCTGCATAACATGTGCCATACTCAGCGTAACGCTCAGGTTATGCGACTCGACTTTCTTTTGTCCAAGTTTCTTGGAGAACAAGGGACTACTCCTAAGAGGGGCCACAGAGAACTTGAACTGACGAAAGTAGACAGTAAAGTCCCACCCACCATGGACGAACAAAGGTATAATTAGAACTGTCGGTTACTAATTCATGCTTTATTCATGAGCATACCAAGAAATGATGGCTACGTAGCTCGTCTAGCTTAGTCTAGTCTCCATGCACTAATACTTGTCTTCGTTCGCTCGTCGCCTTGCTACTGATTCACTTTAAACGGCTATGCACTACGCTCGGCACAGCTCCGAGCACAGCCCCTGGCGAAGCATATAGGACACACACTTCATGAACTAGAACCTCAATAAACCCCATCATTACATCTGCACCACACAATACCCCTCGAGCTATTGCATTTACCCAGAAATCTCCAGAATCCACCTTTGACATCCCTTGGCCGTTACTTTGTTGCGCTTACAAAAAAAATGGATAACAGCACTACTCGTCCCGATCGGGCTCTTAGGATATGATGGCTCGTTTATCGACATTGGGTCCTTGAGCCATAAAACTCCTTCAAGCTCGTCTCAGTCAAATACGCTTCGTACCCCTTCAACGCCGCACGGCGGCAGTGCGCTTCGAATCTCCTCAGGACCCCTAGCGGTTATCGAGCACACAGATCAAAATCGCCTAGACACTATTCGACTCGGGCCAACAGTAGATTTTCCCCTTATGGATGGGTCTTCCCCTCACAATAATTCCGGTGGAAGGTCTCCATCCACGCCAGTGCGCCGTGACCTTACATTCCACGAGTCCCTCATAGACCGTGGCCAGGGTCCCATGGGGACTCCTTGTCGTGTGCCTTTCGTTGCAACCCAATTGACAAGAAAGGATGATTAGAGTAATCCACTACTGTCGAGCGGACAGCTGTAAGTGCATCCGTGATTCTAGCGCCGTCTCATATCGTCCTCTAAACCTCCCTCTAACGTCCGTTCCTCCAACATTCCACCCCTTCTATCACACTTAAACGCTTCAGGATCATTTCTGCCAAACAGTCAACGGCAGATGTTGAAGCGAATTCCTTTTTGTCAGGTGTAAACATCGACGATCTGAAGCGTGGCGGGAGCAAGGTCACACGCAACGAATACTGCATCCTCGCGCATGTTTACGCAAAGATTTCCATGACTCCTCCAGTTGTTCTGTATTGTTAAAAATCTTTCCAACTTTCCGGTGTTGAAACAGATCCATGCAGGAAAGCATTCGAGATCGTGAAGACAGGAGTCATCAATGTAAACGACCATGGAAGGACCGGGTGACCCAGGAAAGAAAGACTCGAAGAGGTTATGTCCAAGGTGCTCAACGTGGTTACGGAGATGAATGAGGCAGGTAAATCAAGTTCAGCGAGGCAGATTGGGAGCCAGTTACAAGAGAAGCACAATGTCAGTCAGCATCCAAGGACTATCATCCGCATCCTTCATGCCTTGGGACTATCTTGGGGGAGAGGTTTACGACAGAACGTTCTGCACAGCTCTTGGGGAATATTACCCGAGGCACGGCTACACGCCTTGTACTTAATTAAGAATTAAATGCTCTCCTAAAACCTAAAATATCTCGTGCGTGGATTATGCGCCCGAATGGATGGGGTTTTATGTTCACGACAACTTTTTTAAGGTTCGACAAACAATTCCGCTTCTGTGTTCTGACCAGGGGCGCGTAAAGTGTGTAACGAACAGCCAATCATATCAGCCTTCGATTTTAAATTCGCGGGATCAATCCCAATCACGAATCCAGATCTTGATGGTATGCATACAGGCGTGTGTCGATTATAAATAAGAGGACCATCCCCGCCAATTTCCTGCAGCATTCTACATTCACATCATGCCTGCCAGCACTCATCGATACCCTAGAACCACCCCTAACTCCATTATTCCCCTTTTGCAGGACCTCCCTCTCGTGGCTTTGGTCCCCAACGTCCACCTCGCCATGCCGCTTCAAGTCACCTTACCAATGGAGAGATCCTTTGATGCTACACCAGGCTTCAACGCGTCCGAATCTTTATACAAGCCTGTCCTAGACGATGGCCAAGAAGACGGCAACAATGCCATGGACCGTTGCATTACGCTCTCCCCATATACCAAGGCTCTGTGCATTATTGCTGCCCTCATATCCCTGTGCCTGCATCTTGCACTCCGTGCCATTGCCAGTCGACAATAAGACGGATGTTCTTTTTCCTGTGGACACGCATGCTAGACTACACACAGACCACGCGGGGATTGAAACCTTGTAGCTGAATACACATCGGAATTTTGGTGCAATACTTGATTCCATGAAGCCAAAGATGCGTTAGACCTAGGATTCTGCGAGTCTGCCAGTGCTAGGACGGAGAACTCTGTGTACGAATGATTGCGTGTTGTTCAAACGTTACAGAGGTCTGTCCACAACTCTCGCTTCGACACAGAAGACATACATGCACAATCCCTGGATCTTACTCGTCTTTGCAGATACGCTGATAGACATGATTTGATGAGCGAGAAGGGAAAGCACGCTTTTTTATGGTTGGTCGATAGGCTAGCGGACCGTCTGTCATCCTTCAGGTCCCACGTTCACACAAGGAAAGGAAAGAATCTCTGGAGCGTGCGACTCCTTGGAAGGCGCCTATTATCGGTTTATTTGCGCACATACATTCACGAATGTCTGACTTTCCAGAAACAAAAGCTGGTCAATCAAACGTCCGTCAGTATTTTATAACCGATGCCGTCAATGATCTGTACCCTGAGACGCGTGTATATTGTCATCCCATTCAGTTGGCCAACGACCGCATTACTTCATCCATTCCTTCTTCTTCTTTTTCTTTTTCTTTATTGATTCACTCTTTCTCCTTCGTTGCACTAACTCTCTCGCTCGAAAAATGTCAAAGAAAACAGCTGCCAAACAATATCTAACACGATCCAGTACCCATAAGTCGCAATCGCCAACTTCTGCTTCCTGGCACCACTGACAACCACGCCGTGGTCTCTGGTCAGGTCATGTTCAGGGCCGACCAGCCATGGTGTCGAGGCCGAGGATTTGATGGTCACCTATTCTGCCATGGTTCGAATCAAGTGGTCAGAGTAAACGAATCCCAACCACTCTCCCGAAAACAAAAGCAGCAGCAACAAATTGTCCTAATGACTCAGTTGACTAACGCGTCCTTTGAACACCGATGTAGACAAGGTTGGGAACTGCGTCTCGGGTCTCGCCTACGGGATATGGCGCAATAATGGTATCTAACTTTACCAAATTCAAGAACGTGAGCGTTTATTTTTACTTTGCAGGTGCGAAGTGCAGACAAAATATCAAAAGAACGGATGCACGGACTCACAACGATAGGCGTGCTCTGTATATAACAGGTCCCGGTAGCGGTGTCCGCTGCAGGCAAGACCCTGGCATGTTGCGATACAATCCATCTCAAGGTTCGATCCTTAGCGAATTCAAAATATGCATTCCTAAACAACGATCAAAAGAACCATCCACTGTATCACCACCATTGCCTCTTCGACTTTTGGATCCACTCTAGCTCGATTCATAGCTGTGTCATAGTCTTTTTGAACCCATGGGCATGAGAACATCTTGTTTCAGGCTTGAGCCGGTAATCTGGGCTCCTCTTTTGTACAATGTAAAAGCTGGCTTAAGTGTCCTCCATCCAGCTCTTGGATTCGAAGAAATACAGAGTGTGCTTGTTCATCAGAATAGAGCGGAGGTTGTATTGTACTAAACAAAATACATGAGCCTAAGTCAAAGATTCAACGAGCAAAAATGGCTCCTGCATCAGAGTCCACGGGTTCTTTGTTAGGTTGATGAAGCGACATGATATAATGAAGCCGCGATTGCAGATTTAGAGTGAACGAGTGCAACTCGTACTTCGCAGCGGCAATGGTTATAGGGCCAGTTTTTTATATCCAGAGGGCATGAGCCTGGAGAAAGTGTGATGTCGCACAATGACTATCTATGGCTGAAGTAATGTATAGCGAAGGGTGCTGAAGTGGCAGCTATGGGTGATGGGGTGTTACTGTGTGGAAGAGTCTGTGCGCATCTCATTATAGAATCGACCGATTTTTTAAGCGGCCGATTCCGGGCATCTCGCACGTTCGTTGGCTGTATTGGAGTTTTGCACTAATGCCTCTTCTTGTAGAAGCGTTGCTTACTGCAGTTTGAAGCACAAAGTGAGATTGTACCACAGTCCTCTTCGCTGTTTGTATCCGAGGTCCCATCAACAGCATAATGTGCTCCGAAAATTCTCTGTTGCATCGCCAGTCTATAATACATGGGCGCCCTCGATCAAGTTGCACAAGCTTGAGGCTAAACATTTTGGTGGCAAAAGCTCGTTTACCCTCATTTCTGTCTTCGATCTGCAGGAACATTCGCTTTCGCGCCCGTACACATTTGAAAATATGGAGTTTATTGCCGTGGCACTACAAGAGGAGGCAGGGCATCCGCAGCTCGCAAACTGTAACCTTGCTTGTGCCTTCTGGCCGCGGCTGTGTGCTTATCATGTTCCTGTCGAGGTCTTGCCGCGGTTCTTATCGGTCTTGTCTTCGTTCTTGCAGCGCCTTGTCTGCGTTCTTAATACAGGTCTCGGTCCTTGTCATTATCTTACCGTCCTCGTCGCTACCTTGTCGCCCCTGTCGTCGCCGTCGCCGCCGTTGTTGTTTTTCTTGCTCTTGCCGGTTGTGTAGTCTTTGTGCTTTCGGTGTAGTGGCTTTTTTTTGTTTCTTTTTCTTTTTTTTTCATTGTTTCTTTTTTCGGTCTTGCTTTTTTGGAGTCCATGTGGTGCTAATGCGCTGGGTTGATTGTGTCAAAACTCCTGCCGCTTTGAGTCATCGCAGCTGTTGTTCGAGGCAGTGCTGTTCTGATGATTGCTATCGCCACAGTTGTTGCGCCCATTGTCGTGCAATGGCGCTGGTGCCAGTATCAGACACCAGATTACAGTCAGTTCGCATAGAGATAGACCCATAACCACTTTGCCATCAAAGAAGACACAGCAAACACCAGATGCATGCATACCTTGCCAAGGACGATGACAGAACCCGAGACCATTCCGTCCCAGACCCTTTTGACCCACCCGAATCCTCCTTACACTCCCCTGAACCCCTCTTACCTATCCCATTGATGTTAGACCCTTCACCCTGCTCCCCTTTCTGCCCAGTCCCAGATACCCTCCCGACTAGCCCATGGCAGGTGCACCCCATGCTTTCCAAGCATGCAACCGACAAGCCGACCGCCGCTCCTCCCGACATTCAAGCAGCCTAAGGGCTTACCTGCACGGCCATATTTCGGTACCACCACCAACCGGCACTCCCGAGCAATGGTCCTCAGCCGTAGGTTGGTCCACGAATGCCATAGTCATTTTGGGTCGCCCTCTACACCCACACCAATGCCCCACTTACCCTAGTACCAGGACCTTAGCACGACGTAGGACTCTACTTTCGCGGATACACAGAGCAGCTTGCTTTACCATGCGGACCGATGATCCTCAAGGAAAATGAGAAGAGAAGACGGTGTTGCACTAGTTAGTATACAGTTTTGAATAACGCTGCACAAAAAAGACATGCACGTTAACAGAAACAGACGGACAGTTTACCTTTGTGATTTTGGAGTTGACGCTTTTCATCGGACGGTCTGGGTCTCAAGGAAGAAAGAGAGGGGGAAACGGACGAAAGAAAAGGCGAACAAGAAAAGAGAAAAGAGGATGCTGGCTTCCTGCCTTCTCGCCAAACCCAAGGTCAACAGGTCATTAGCGAAAAGAGATGAACAGAAAAGAAAAAAGAGAAAAGAAAAAAGGATAGGGAGAAAGAACCAACGGTGGAAGACCCAGACCCACCTCCGGAAGTGCACAGCGCATTCGAGCCGGCGACTGCAAGCCAGTGAAAGCCTCTAACCATCAGAATGTGCAAGGAAAAGAGAAACAGACGATGGCCGATAATCGCCCAGGATCCTGAACTGCACAGGGGCAGTCCAGTCTAGGACTATGATCCGGACAGGACCACCGATTTTTCCATCCCTTGCAACCCCAACGGCTGCTGCTCCAGAGCCCTGAGCACGCTAGCCCCCTAGCATCCTTACCTTGCTTTGCTGTGTCTGTTTCTGTTTCTACCTGCTGCTTCCTTTGGCTAGCACCGCGGAGGACCACGTTGATCCGCACAACCTCGCGCGCCGCGATGTGTATACGGGAGAGTAGAGTCATTCGCCGTGCCACAAGATCCCTAAGATGTAGGCGAGAGCAGGTGCATCAGACAGCCAAAAGACCAGAGGGCTCGCCTCATCCCTAACGCACGGCGCATCATCCCATTGCCTCGAGAGGCCAGTGATATGGTCCCGTTGGCGAACCGAACAGGCGCCCTTGACTACTTGATGCCGGGACGACGGGGGTGAGATATGCCGATCACATACAAGAAAAGCAGAGGCGCACTTACCATGAGATAGCCGTTAGGGGCTGGTCCTGAGCATCTGGTGGGGAGTGTATTTTGAAGGGTGAAGGGCGGAATAGGTGGAGGGGCGAGTAAGGGGAGTGGGGAGGAAGGGGAGGAGAGAATTGGAAAAGAAAAAAGGAAATCCCCTCCCACCGCAGCCTGAGACAGCATGGCTGCGATGGGCGGGACAGATCCGTAAAGACCGACCCACTGCAACGGGCGCTGGGGCTAAAGTTAGGCCCCGTTGCAGTAGGTCATCTGTACCTGCCCGAAACCCCTCAGGTTCTATGATTTGTGGGGGTTGAAGGCTCCGAGAGCTACAACTGAGGTCTATTAGATAGAAAGATGTGATGATGAAAATACCAGCAAGGTGAGCATGCAGGAAGAGCTGAAGCATCTTCTTTTCAAAGCTGATCTCACAACCCACAGCAAGGATTGCAGTTGTTGCCTTACCATATCTGGTACCTCTAAAGAGCTCGTTGAAGCTCTTGGTGTATACGTTGTCGTAGTGACCCATGAGGACCTTGAGCTAGAAGACGTTGGCACCAAGACAAGAAAGGTGAAGCGAGTCAATAAAGGTCTCATGTCACTTGGCGAAGGCTCTTCTTTCGACGAAACGACATCGACGTCCATCTGTACCTGTTCGATGCTTGCTCTGTTGCACCGCGGCTCATCCTTCCTGTCATTCTTCGCGTCTCCTGCCACTTGGGTGGTCTCACCCCCAGCTTCAACCTCGTCTGCTTGAACTCCCTCTGCTTCGGTACTTGAACAACATAGTACGAACGCTTGGGATTGAGCCTAAGCAGGCATTTGGACATATGCGCGCGCATATATCGGTCCATGGCAAGGGCATGGGCGCCTAGCTCCTCTCTTATGTCAGTATCGGCATCGAAGTCTCGATCTGACTAGCCATCTCCCCTAAGCGGTCATTGTCCAGACCCTTGAACACATTACTGAGAATAAATGGATGCCTCTGCTGCAGTCCTGCAGTGGGCTAATAGCACTAAAACAAATTACCAAGCGCAAGGCAAATGTTAGGGCACTCTGCAGAACAATTTATCCTCGACGATTTCCCACGATCCACGTACCATATGAGCAATGTCTTTTTTTGGGTTTCTTGATTTTACGGTTTTTTTGCGGCTTTTGCTTGGGTTTTTTTGAATCTAACAAGCGGTAAGAGAGCAGAGGATGCGATCGTGAGAATTGTGCTTCAGTGTCAAGTGCAAAGCAAAATAAACCCAGCCAAAGTACTTACATTGATTTCGTCGATGCTTATTAATCGCTCCACGGCCTCGGTGTTGGCCTGTGCTGTACAATAGGAGTCCTGCTCTATTGATTTAGCGCTGGATTGTGTGTCTCCACTCGCGGATCCATTTCCAGTGTCTTTTCCAAAGGTTGATCGTGTGTGTGCGCAGGATGCTGAAGATGGTCTTGGCCATTTTGGGCTGGAATCACTCATATCTTGGGAGACGAAGGCGGCGAGGGCTCTAATTTGGTCTCATTTGTATGATCTGCTGTCGGCGGTGCAGACGATCCTTCAGAGACGGTGCTCTCCTCTGTCGAAACCGGATTCATCTCTACGTCTTTGTCCAGAATGGGACTATGTGTGGTTCGCTGTAGAATAGGAACCATTGCAGTCGACGTTGGAAGCGTGCTAGCTGCTGGAATGTCTGTGATCGCGCTTATGGGACTGCCAGAGATAGCGCTCGATGGTTTTTCTCTGAGCCGGGCTGAGCTGCGCCTGGCGCCTGCTTTTGGATTCGGCTCGAAGATCACTGTCGAGGTCTGGGTGACGATATTCACAAGGTGCACCATCCTGTACGCCGGCTCGGTTTCCAACATCTTGTTGATGGCTGCCATTCTGCGCCTCTTTCTCCGGGATTCCTGCGCCTCTTCGCTTGACTCCCGCTGTCTCTTTGATAAGCGGCGATACTCGCTGCTGTCAGCAGGTTCAAAGGTGTCAGGGGAGAACCTGACTTTCTTGAAGGGCCGCGGCGACGATGATGATGATGGCGTGCTCGCGGAGAGCTCGGTGCTTTGAGGAAGGCTAGTCGCAGTAGATCCTCTGCTCTCGGATGACATCGACGACGGGATGTCTGCATGTTCTTGTGTAACCAAGGACCATGTGCGCTTGTTGTTCAAATATTCCCGAATCTGTGGGCCAATCTGGAGGGCCGTCGGGATCGCGCCGGTGTTTTCTTCCTCGAGCATTGTTTCGAGCTCATCGAGGTGCACAGAGAACTCGCTATCGTCCTGTGGAGGAGCAGCTGTAGGCCGGTGCGGGAGGCTGGAGGGTGGGGCAATGTTCGCTTGCGATGAATTCTCAGTATCAGTGGGGGCAGTGGCCGCTTGGGATGAGCTCTCAGCATCAGTGGTGGCAGTGGCCGCTTGTGGTGGGATGTCGGCATCTGCGGCGGCACAAGGGGCTGGCGTTGAAGAAGTAGAATTGGGGGTTTTGTTCACAGCAGTGATTATGTTCGCTTTTGTCGCGTTATGTTTGATCGTACGACGCTCTGTCAGGCGCGGCGGGTGCTCTGGGCCGTTCTCGAAGAAGGCAGGGGAGAGGACGATGGACAGAATGCATAGGAACATGCAGAAGTAGAGATCAGAGAATCTGAACGCGTTGTCACTCATGATGATGGTCAGGGCTGGTAAGCGATGGTCAGGGCTAGGTAGCGATGTGTGAGTGAAGAAGGGTAAGGAGAACACCTCTACCGTTGGTGTCCCTTTATTGACGCGTTCCCTCGATGTGGTGGCGGTGGCGTAACGTTATTTCCCACGTGGCGCGGTCCGTGCAGAATTTTTTTACATCCTGAAAGCGGTCACAGGACGCTCTTGAATAAGAGTGCTGCAAAATTCAACCCATAGACCTATATGGGATGAATTTTAATAAGAAAATGCAATTGTGTAAAATACTATTATGATTGCCACCCCCCCTTTAAGCACATATTGACGCCTGGCCCACGATGCACCTAGAAATGTAACTTGGTTGGCATTTGTTTGGAGTTGGTATTAAGGAATTAGCTGAGATGGGCACCATTGAAGGCTGTGTGCAGTAAGAATGAGGCTATCGACTTGTCCAACTTCGACACCTCCTTCTCACCATCAAGTCGACTGCTCCTTGTTAGAAGAGGGAGGTTTTCCGAGGACATTATGAATCAGTTGTCGAGTACGAATCAGTCATTACTGCCCCTCGAGATGAAGAGCCATCAATCATTACATGGAGATAGTGCAGGAAAAAATTCAACCTATATGTGGGCCATGGAGGCTGCTCGCCTGCGTCCACCAGCTCGCCCTTGCCTTTGCACCGCCTCGCTACTACTGCTGCTGCTGCTTCCGGTTCCTGTGTGCGGCCTTGCATCTTGCTACATCCAAGGCTGGTTCCCCTTTTCATCCACTGGCTGGAGATACAATGGTCGCTCTTGGTGGAGTAAATGGCTGCGAATGGCATTGCATATGTTGCGGCCAGTCCTGATATCGCAATAAATGAGTGTCTTGCAGTTCGATAAATATAGTCTGCGTATCTCGACCTGTTCGACAAACTTCTTGCAAGAGGGACACTTATTGAATGTATAGGACTCGTTCACCCCAACCACGATGTAACCGAGGGACCTGGCCTAGAGTACATCAACACAAGGTCAAAGTCAATAAAAACATAAAACGATTTTACGCGACTTCGGATCTCCAGTGAAAGTACCTTACCTTCTGAACAAAGTACAACTGGAAGGACTCATACAAAGATGAAAGTCTCGTCTTGATCGAAACTTGCCCAGACGGATCTCAATAACAACCTTGTTGACTTCATCTCCCTTCCTGTCGATCGACCCGCCAAGCACATTGAGTAGACGCTTTGTGAATCTTCATCCCTTGCCATTATTACGTCCCACTTGTGCTTCATGAGCCGGTTGTTGCCGTTGTAAAACTCATTCAGTCGTCCCTGTACTTTCTCCAGTTCTGTAAGATAAATCGCCAAGCTGACCCCTCCACTGCGCTGTGATGGCAGCTTGGTCTCGATGTCGCTGGTGGATTCTATTCCGTCTGGGACGACACTTTTTTGCCCTTCCATCCAGCATCGGTGCTTGAAGGTTGGCTGGTAAATGGCTTTCTGCTTCACAGCCAGGTTGTAATAGGTGGCGGGAGCAAAGCCTAGCGTTGGAGCAGGGGCTGGTGTTGGACTTTTGCAAAGGTCCTCCATATCGACATCAGTATCATAATCGCCAGGGGCTAGTGTTGGACCTTCGTAAGGGTCCTGTATGTCCACATCGGTATCAGAGTCACCTTGCTCCCTCACTGTGATATCGCGGGCTCCCATATTGCGAGCATTCTTGAGGAGTATCGCGATTGCTCGGAGTACACACGACTGGCCGAGGTCGACCTTGATCTGTTCCGGCCCACAACCCCAAAGATCTTCGACATCCTGCCTGATCTTCGCAACGTTTCGAATCTCGGTCGAGTAATAGTCCGTGCCTCCGATGGTGAATGTGATTCGATGAGGCAAGACGTCCTATAGAAGGCGCCTATATCTAACCAAATGAAGCTTTTTCAAGACCCTAGCCGTTTCCATACCTACCCCAATCGAGTGCTTGCAGAACCCACGCAAGCATCGACAAGGTAGCGATCAGGGTTCCATAATTGTAAGTGTGGAGGGACAAGAATAGTACCCCATCAAGACCGCTGCCAAGGCAGTCCCTTTGGTCTAGCAAATCCCTAAGCTGAGCGTGTTGTCGCCTCTCTAAATTCTTTGTAGATACTACTCGCTGAGTGTTTCGTCCCTGCGAAAGAACAAGGCACCTTTTGAAACCTAGCTCCCAAGCGATCTCATCGTAAGTGTTCTCTGCACCTGAATCTTTATTGTTTCCACTATTGCTCTTTGGCCTACCTCTATCCAGGTTGCTTCTGTAGCTCAAGCTCAGACTCTAGTTCCTGACTTGAGCTGTTCCTCCTTCGTCGCTGCTAATTTACATAAGACTTATTGCAGTAAGCAGTGATTCTCATCGATCAGTTGTAGTGCAATTTTCGCAGTTCACCGGTGATTATCACCGGTGAACAAAGAATCGGTGAAATCCAATGAAACTCAGGGGAAAAAAAATTCATCCCACATATGGGTTGAATTTTTTCCTGCACTATCTCCATGTAACGATTGATGGATCTCTCGTCTCGCTTGTTCACTTCATACAAGCCTGTATTGTTTTGAGGGGCAGTAATAACTGATTCGTACTCGACAACTGATTCATAATGTCCTCGGAAAACCTCCCTCTTCTAACAAGGAGCAGTCGACTTGATGGTGAGAAGGAGGTGTCGAAGTTGGACAAGTCGATAGCCTCATTCTTACTGCACACAGCCTTCAATGGTGCCCATCTCAGCTAATTCCTTAATACCAACTCCAAACAAATGCCAACCAAGTTACATTTCTAGGTGCACCGGGGGCCAGGTATCAATATGTGCTTAGAAAGAGGGAGTGGCAATTGCAATCCAATGCAAAAGTATGCATTTTCTTATTAAAATATGAGATGTCGCTCCAATCGGAGGCAGTGTACATAATGAGACAGACTGGCCAGTTCATAGTGCCCCGCAGCAACAAAGCCTGTTTTTCTGTTGCGCGTGTCCATAAACTGTTGGTGGATCCCGGGTAAGTAAACAGAAGAAGCGAAGTCAAGGTTAGACCCAAAAGGTCAGCCCCTCGTACCGGAATATTGGTTGCGCCCTTCCTTTGGACAGCTCATGAAGACGAGAATCCTACTTTAAGCATCAACAACATCAAACAGTGTTCCCTTGAGGCACATGCAATGTTTGGACATTGGCTATTCAATATGTACATATAACGCAGAGCCGTCCCCTTTTGATTCTTGAAGGTACCCTCAGCCGCGGTCGCCAATCTCACCAACTCTGTCACCAGGGAATAGTAATTATCCACAGTCTCACGCAAGCTATGTATGGACCTGAAAAGCAATTAACAAATAAATATAGTACGCGTATATCTTTTGCAACAGTTGTTAAACGCCTTGTAGGCACGACTTTGTTCCCTCTTTCCATCTCCTATCTCTCCTTTGCGCCTTTTTTCGCCAGAGCGCAGAAGTACAATATGCATGCACAGTACCTATCATGTAAAGGTTTTTAGGCAACCGGTAATTATGATGTACATACAAGATGCGTATTGCAGTACTTGCCGTGTGTATGCGATCCCAATCCCTGTCATCATCATTGTCGTCATCATCAGCACCACTAAAATCGCCAGTGCAAGTTCCAGTATGTTGCACCAAAGGAGGGGCTCTGCCAAGCATAGCAGCGGATCGGGTCGCAGTCCGCTAGGTGTAATTCGTCATATTGCAACAGAGGCAACTTTAGGTTTCATGAACGTGATATGATGTCATTTCGACGTGAATTAAAGGAGAGGGGGCCACCGCCAATCCCCTCCCCCATACTTCCCCAACTCTAATCCGCACACGCCAATCCCGCTGCAGCACTGTCGAGTGCGGGCTGCTCCCACTGCACCGCGATGATCTCACCATGATCCGCATTGGGGCCTCTTTCCTTGCTAGCCCAGGGGCAAGACCACGACCCATATGACAGCTCGTCAGCACAAGGCAAGCAAAGAAAAAAACGTATAAAAGGACCACTGTCCTCCGCCGAAAAAAGAACTCATCAACAACTACCACTACAACAACTTCTCCCACCTCAACCAACCCAACCCCCCACAAACAAAAACCAACATGTCCAACGTCACTGACAAGATCTCCAACACCGCCAACTCCTACATGGGAGGCGCCAAGCAGTCGATCGGCGAGACCATCGGTAACAGCGACCTCGCTGCCGCCGGTGCCCAGCAGAAGGCCCAGGCTGATGCCGCCGCCGCCGCCGCCACCGCCAAGGCCCACACCGAGGGTATGGGTCACCAGGTCAAGGGCAACGTCCAGCAGAACGTCGGATCCGCTCTCGGCAACACTGAGATGCAGGCCAAGGGCCACGCCAACGAGACCCGCGGCGATATGGAGCGCAAGGTCTAAATATCAGACCTCTTTCAACTCTGATCTGTAAATAAACGCTGTATCATACCACTCTTTACAAAAAATCGTATTTTGGTGCAAAAGTTGAACGTTTTGAATGTGATTTGAAAGCGGATTGGTTATTATTGAGTGTAATATTGAAAACAGCCGACAACAGTAATGCTATAGATGGATGGTGCCGCACTGGAAGGAGTATGAGAGTAGAATGGCATTATGAGGACCTATGTAATTTGAGGATTCCGTTTAGAAAGTGCTCCAAGACCAGTCATGTGGGACCGAGGGCATGGGCATCACAGTCGTATCTAAATCGGATACGAGAGCAGAAAAAGAATAAAAAAGTTAATTAGTCTAACACGGCCCAGGGTCCAAAGGTGTGGGACTGCATGAGAGCGGCATTAAGGAATGCTACATACCTGGAACAGGTTTAGTTTTGATGGCAATGTTGTCTGAGGCCGATTTCGGGAGCCGTACAATATCTAGAGCAACGAGAGAGAGAAAGAGAGATCAACGAAAGGAATGTGGTTCTGTGAGCGATAGCTTCCTGTGCGCGAGCGGACCAAACAAATATTGGGTGGCATAGTCTTTGATTCACAAACCATCACGACCCAGGGCCTCGCTAGAGAGTCCTTCTGATTTCCCGGTGTTTTCATGGGGCAACGACCCGGCAGCCTTGCTGTCAGTTGTGATCTGGCCGTCAGAGACAGAGCCGAATGCACCCCTGACGGTGCTGTTTGTTGAGGAGGATGGCGCCGGATCAAAGCCGACCCACTGCTCATAGGCCTCATAACAGCCTATGCACGCCCTGCTCATCACACCCATAGCAGGATTAAAGTCCAGCGCCTGGTCAAGGGGGATCGCCTTTGAGCAATGAGCACTGCAAAAGATATCGCCGCATCTTTGTGACAAAACACAGCACATGAACAGAGAACGATTAGATCAGTTATCGAATACCGATCGAGATTTGGGGCCGTAAAAAGAAAGAGGCTGAACAAAAAAAAAAAAAAAAAGGGCCATGACTTACTTCCTGCAATGATGTCTTCGGTCAAAGAAGCCAAACTCACGGAGACATCCAGGCCATGTGCAAACCTGGGTGCTGCTGTCGGGCTGGCCACCATTTGCATGGGATTATTCGAGCAGATCAGAAGAAAAATTAGCGCCAAAAATAAAACGTTATTCCGTGGTGATTGGTCGTGTGAGCTGCGAGAACCAGGCAGCCGATAAGACCCAGTAAGTCTTCGGTCCATTCCATTCCTTGACCCAACAGAGGATAACATACCTTCCAATGGGCACGGCTGGGTCCTTGATTTGCGTCTGAAGAAAAGGTGCTGCTGCGGGATGGACGATTCGATATGGAAGTAATCCGTTGGTGGCTCGAGTTTACGGAGCCTCGTCGGACGCCATTTCCGGTACCATTCTGAGTCGTGCTTCCGTTCGGAGAAGAGGTGACTGAAGCCGAGCGGAATTGCCTGTGCGTATCATGTTTCGGAGAGCTCTGTTGTTGCTGTTGCTGTTGCTGTTGCTGTTGCTGTTGCTGTTGCTGTTGCTGTTGCTGTTGCTGTTGCTGTTGCTGTTGCTGTTGCTGTTGCTGTTGCTGTTGCTGTTGCTGTTGCTGTTGCTGTTGCTGTTGCCGTTGCTGTTGCTGTTGCTGCTGTAGTATTCGTTGTTGGTGTTCCCGTTGTTGTTGCTCGAGCACGGCCTGTCTATACTGCGGCGGAAGTTGCGAGTGCTTATTTTCAATGTCCTGCAGGGTTGGGGGTGCACCCAAAACAGCGGCTTGTTGCTGTTGTGGTTGTTGTTGTTGTTGCTGTCGCTGCTGTTGGTCCAGAAGCGCTTGATGATATTCCGGTGGCAACTGCGAAGACTGGTTGCTCTGCGACGGAGCCATGGTTCCGGCGCTGATGTTCTTGTCCAGTTCTCCTTTTGTGAGATGCGTGGGCCGTTGTTTCTTGGTGAGTGAGTAGACGTCCATGAATGAGTTGGGATGAAGAAAAGAGGGGCCTGATGAGATGAACAAAGAATGGGAGAAAAAGAATGAAGAGGAGAGAGGAAACACTTCAGGACAGGGGACAGGGACGGGAGAGCGAGAGAGAGGGAGATAAAAAGAATAACGGCTTTCAATTGGGCCCAGAAATCGGGTCTTTCTTTTTATATACTAAAGAAAGGCTCAGCTCAGTGGATTCCGCACCTTTCTGTGACAAGAAAAGAACGATCCATCTCTCTTTACGCTCTTAAACTGATCTGCGGAAGCCTTCCACAACATCTTCTTTATCGATCAAGTTGAAATGCAGGCGTGTACTTGTTAGTCTATATTGCTGTTACTCCTCAACTGTCGACATCTGGACTTCTAACAAAAAAAAAAGGGGGGGGGGAGGGTGAGCTGAATTGCAGCGGGTGCAAGGTGGCCCTTGCGCTATCGCAGGCAGGGATAGAAAACCCGCCTAGGAAGGACCAACAAGGACCAGCAATTCGCACCCTGACACAAATCTAGGGGCCGCTTCTTTCTTTTTCTCTTTCAGCAACAGGATCAAGGATAGGATTACCAGACAAAGGTGCACCCGAATAATCCGTTCCCTTTATTTTTCTTTTTTATCTAGGCTTAATACAATGGAGAAGAAAGCGGACACCAAGTGCCTGCTATATTTAATCCCATGGATTAGGGAGACGCGATGCGACTGCATCTGCAATCTGCATCACCCAGAAAACTAGTCGGTTTTGCTACACAGCTCACAACCTGAGGAACCTGAAATGCAATGAAAGTTGTCATCATCATAAGCACATCAAACCAAGAGGGAGTGAAATCCACAACCAAGCAATTGTGCAGTTCATTGTAACTGCTGCATGCATACACAGTGCGATGCACCACGAAAATGAAACAGAACGGTCCATGCGGACCAAATTATTGTTGTTTGTTGGCAGAGTCCTTTTTCGACATACCCTTCCATTGCAGTTGGATCACAGGCGGGTGTGATTGAATGGCGCCTTTAATTGTATAGTTTCGTTGAATGTTTTCTAATGCTGCCGACATTGGTTCTTTTCCTGCTCCTGTTTTAGTCCCGGATCTCCAAGAGTTCGACATCAAAGATAAGGTTCGAGAGACCTGGGATGATGGGTGGAATGCCACGGGCTCCATAAGCAAAGTCGTACGTGATGTGGAGAATCGCCCGTTCGCCAACAGACATCAAAGGGACACCTGTTTGAATATCGCAGCCAAGAGGTAGGCATGAGTACACGTATCCTAGCAGAGTATTGTACAACATGTCGGCATGTTGCCTGTACCTTTCTCCCAGCCCTTGATGACCTGACCGACGCCGATCTGAGTGACAAAAGGCTCACCACGGTCTCTAGAAGAATCGAACTTTCTACCGCTCTCAAGCTGAGACGATAGATGGATAAGAACGCACACTGATCAGACATGGGGTTGCCCTCGATAATTTCGCAAGTGTGCCAAATCCGCTGCTGCTGCTGCTGCTGTGCTTGGTTGCACTGCGGTCTGTTGGCAATAGGTGATCATTTGCAAATGAAGTGTCCGTTGTGTTTAATTACAGTTCCAATATCTAATGTATAGGATATGATGAGGGTATGTGTAGCATGAGTCTCACGTTTTATCCGATCCAATAACGAAATATATCTCGGCAAGCACATACAGTGAATAACGACGGTCTGTCCTGGCTTGGGGAAGTTGATTCCGTCTCCGGGAGTGATGGTGGTCTTTTTAACTCCCATTGCTTGTGTGTAAATGTGTAAGGAAGGGGGAGGGGAAAGGGCGGTGCTGATCAGCTTCCTTCTTTTCCCCGGACAACAACCAACGCCCGCCCAAACAGTCACCGGCGCAATTGGACCGGATCCTGAAAAGGAAAAACCCGTTCCACCTTCAACAAAGAAGAACGATTAACCTTCCGGGATTCAACTCCTTCACCTACCTACCCTCCTTCTACCGCCCCGTCCTCCAGCTCACTCCCTCCTCCCCCTCCTTCTCTCCCTCCCTCTTTTCTTACGGTCTCTTCCCGACAAACTCATGACGTGCAGGGCCAGCAGCGACCGCGCGATTGAATCTGCACCGTACACCTAAACAGACCGCACACCACTGCAGCAGCAACACTAAAAGGGTCCTAGGAGAACCTATTTGGGCAGACGACTTCAACAGTCAACCGACCTACCATCCATCAGCAAACATACACCAACTTGTCTGATCCGCCATGGCTTTTCGATTCCAGTGGCCTTATTTCTCGGATGAGTTCATCCAGGAAGCCAAGACTATGCTCACCAACGCCCTCAACAAGGGCAACAAACCAGCCGTCATTGTCGACCATATCACTGTCAAAGAACTGGACATGGGCACCCTGGTAGGCGGGACGTACACACATCCAGCTTTTTTTAACGCTCTACCTCGACAGCCGATAATGGACATGCGGATTAAAATATCCTTTTTATATGCCCTTGCTTACTAGCCGCCAGAGCTGGAGATGCTGGAGATGGGGGAATTATCGATGGAGCGCTTCCGTGGCATCTTCAAGCTGACCTACAACGGAGATGCCCACATTGTATTGCAGACAAAAGTTCAGGTACACTCTTCGCCCACTGCTCTTAGGAAAGATGGAGTCTAGGGATTCATAGCCTAACTCTTATCTCCTGATGGGAATGCGACAAATAGGCCAATCCCATGAACGTCAAGAAAACCGACAACCCCTCGTATACCCGTCGTGGCATCTTGGCAGCAGACCAGCCCCTTGTTGTACCCATGCTTCTCAGGATTAGCGATTTCAAGTTGCGCGGCATCATCGTGTTAGTTGTGGACCAGATCAAAGGCATCACCCTCGTCTTCAAAAATGATCCGCTGGAATCGGTACTTGTCAGCTCAACATTTGATAGTATCACCCCCATCCAACGCTTTCTTCAGTCAGAAATCGAAAAGCAGCTTCGGAATCTGTTCCAGGAGGATTTACCAACGGCCATTCACAATCTCTCGCAGCAATTTACCAAGAAGCCTGAGGCAGCATCGAGGCAGCATTCACAGGATGATGTCCATGTACGACCTGGCCACTATGACGGCGGATTGGGGACACCAATGGTCTCCCAGAATCCTTCCAGGCGCTCCTCAATGCAACCTGGCGCGAAGAAGATACCCGGCAGAACCAATTCAGAGCCAGACTTGAGCGCTGGTGCACACTATAATGCAGAGGGACTAAAATCCGTGAGGAAGCCAGCCTCGGCTACCGTGCGGTCAGAATCTCCTGATACTGAATCCCGGCGCGATCCACATACGGAATATCCTGGAGATGCGCAACGAGATCTGTTAGAAGAATCGCTCAGTCATCAGGCCAATAGTCTCGCCAAGGACCGTGGGTCGAGAGCCGGCAGCAGGAGGCCGTCTGTAATGTCGGATCGATATGAACATTCCGGGACCTCAACATTCTCGACACTGGAACGGATATCAATGCGCGACGCTTCCATTCTACCATCCCTTGGAGTTGCAGAGTCAACCCATCTCGCCAATCAGTTCGCCAACTTGATTCACAGCAACCAAACAATATCACCATATGCTCAAGATATGCAGCATTTCACCTTCAGGTCTGTTCCTCCAAAGAGACCGGCATCTGCGCAGTATTTTGGACTCCATGGAGGCTACCAAACACAATCTCCGGGGAGTAAGAGTGGACCCAATAGCGTGAATGGATCTGAAGCATCAAAGGATGGTCTGGGACATCTCAGGAACAACGGTACAGGACAAACGCGTGGTAACGCACAGTATAAAAACGAGGTCAGCGGGTATGGACAGAGTTTTCCACGGACATCACATCGTCGTTTGCAAGGACGTGTGGGCGTCAGGAGGTACGCGATGCAATTGGGAGCCGGTGGTGGACCCCGAGAGTTGAGTGATTATGATTCGGACGAATACAACGATGTGGATGAGGCGCTTTCGGAAAGCGAGTACGTGTACGTTGAGAAGTTATCACGGTCATCAGTAGACATGGATCGTCCGGAAGCGAAGGACCCGCAGGACTATATCGGACACTCATACTCAGGCAAGGGCAAACCGACTCCATCGACCCAAGCATCTTTGTCGGCTTCCTTCCAAACAACCGACGGTCATTTAAGCTCATCGACGTCATCACCAGTGTCTCGTCCTCAATTGAACCGACGGCGTTCATCCAATCAACAAGGCCCCTACTACTCATCCAGTGGGTCCAACGCCATGCCAGGAGGCTTTTCATCAAGAGTTGATACAAGGACATGGGCCTCATCTAGCCGTCAGAATGCAGCGGAGGGCAATGCAAGGATCGAAACGCGGTCTGTGCCTTCGAGACAGATGTTATCGCCCGATGCAGCGCTCAATCGGAAAAATGCAGAAATGCAGTTGAATAGTAAGCAGCAGCCACCTCCCTCTCTCGAGGGACAGTATCCACAGCATCAACACGGTAGCCATGCTCCCAAGGCGTCGTCAGCAACATCGACGACGGCGACAGCAAGGACATTCAGCAGTACTCAGCGCCACAGCCAACAATCTCCGAGATTGCCCCCGCCCGGCGCTCTGAAGCGCGACAAACGTAATTCGTCGATTTTGAGTTCGCGGAGGGTCAGTTCTGTAGGCATCGGTCTGGGCGTATTGAGCAAGGAAGGCGATAAGAAGGATGGCTCCTCAAAGACTTTGCACTCGCAACAGGGACCATCTGAAACACATCCTACGAGGCCATCTTTATACAAATCCAGGCCGTTCACAGCGCACCCTGAATGGCTTGGACCGGACAGTTAACTTCGGGCCAGCGCAAAAATAAAAATATAAACTCTTTTTGGGCGAAGCAACTTGTCCTCCTCACGTCATTTGAGCGGGATACCCAAATCCTATTGGTCATTCAGTGGTTGAAATCCAAAAAAAATATTACCCATGATATATCTTTTTTTTTTTTTTCAATTCTCCCTGTTTACTACCATGCCTAAGCATCCCCTATCGAATAAAAGGGTCCTATCGCCAGGTCTCACGAGGCGAGGGCGCCTCCAGGGAAGATCCCAAAGATGCACAACCTGTCCCTCCAAACTGTCCCCAGTGTCATCAAAAAATGAGAAAGAGATGGCACTGTTCTTTCCAATAGACCACATGGAAGGAAACTCAAACTTGGGCCTCTTGCTGTTAATATCATACTCAATCGATTCAAGAGTAATAATAACAATACCCTCCAAGATGCTGTTCAAGATGCACCCCAAGCACGTCAGTAAACAGACTGTCCGACGCACGGTCCACGAGCATGGAATCCTCAGTCGAGTTGATGTTGAAAAGCCAAGGCTTGGGTCCAAGGCATGTGGGAAGCACACTTGTTATTTGCTGAAAAAAAAATATAAAAAAAAAAATCGGACATGGATAGACTGAGAGAGGATCGTGTGGACGGGTGAGGCTTGCTTTTGAGATTAGGCGGCAAGAACATATCTGGAATCCTCAAATGGTGGAAGAGGAAGAGAAGAATCATTTCCCCGAAAAACACCAAGCCTTGACTCCGGAGCGGTGAGTCCGAGATAGTGGTGCGGGCTAGCCATCGCCGGTGATCACGGATCCAAGCTTATGATTGTCAATGGTGACAACAGCAAGGGGTCTGGGCTTCTTTGATACGGTCTACGAGGAGGAGCTCAAAAGGTTCATGTTGGAAATCAAAAGATTCCCATCCGCACGCAAGACAACATTCCTGTTCACAAAAGTACGCGCGTGAATCGATGACAAGAAGCCAACGGCACCCAGACAAATGCTTTAGTTAGATCTGAGTCCGGTAGAAAAACATAAAACACTCTACACAACCCATTAGCAAAAGAGAAGGTGGTAGCCTGCCTCTCTTCAGGGCGGAATAGGATAACCCCTCGCTCGCAAAAAGATGATCTGTCCGCTCCATAAAAAAAGAGGATCAATGATGTGATAGCAGCAGGACGGGGGTAGCAATGTTACTCCAGACTGAGTGAACTGAGTGTTCCCTCCACAATTTGCATATGTCGATGAAAAATGTAGACGATGCTTTGGGTTTAATTATTTTTTTTTGTTGTCGGTATTATTTTTATTTGGGTGGATAAAAAATACAGGCTCTTTCTCAAACCTCCACATTTGCATCAAAATGCGCCAAGTTGAAGAGAGAGGGAAACACCCTTGAACAAATAAATTTTTCCACTGCTATTGTTTACACTTTTTTTTTTTTTTTGCTGTTAGCAGTCATGAAGTGTGCTGCGAGGTGCCTGTTAAAAAGAAGGGCCTTCGTTGCAGTATTCCTCATCACCCACCTTTGTTGCCTCCCTCGAACCCCACAACGCTGCTCTGTTCGGACATAAAGAACACTGCATCAGTTTGTCCTCATTTGCCTTTCCTCATTCGTCCTTACACTCAGACTCCCAACACTACCTACAACAGCACAGAGAAAGGTTCCACCATGGCTCCAGGACGACGAAGCGGAGGCGGTGTTCCCGGCGGTAACAACAACCAGCAACAGCGGAAACCGCAGGTCAACAACCATAGCCGCAAATCTCGCGGTGCTGCAGCTGCAGCTGCAGCTTCATCTACAGGATCTTCCAAAAAGTCGACTATCAAATCGCTGGCCAACGTTTATTCGATCGACGACGAGGAAGAGTCCAAGAGCGCGAGACGCCGCAAGCAGTACTTGGATGAGGTCGATAATTATGAATATAATGTCGATGATATCGAAGACGAGGACGATGAGGAGATCGATTCGGACGAGGCTTTTGACGAGGAGGACGAGGAAAAGTACGAGAACTTTCAGTTCTATGGATCGAAGGATCAGCAGGGAAAGAAGAAGAATAAGAAGCAGAGCCAGACTGACAAGAAGGTACGGATATGGACCCTTTATTATAATTTCAGAGTAACTCCTATCAAGACTTGTTCTGATGACATTGTACGGTTTCACTCATTAGGACAAAGGCAAGGGCAAGCAGTCCGTGTCGGATGACGAGGACATGATGGATCAGGACGAAAGTGAGGACGAAGAGGAAGAGTCTGAAGAGGAGGAGGGTGCAGAGTACATGGACATTTCAGAGATGCTGGATCAGCCCGAGGAGGATGAAGTCCCTCTGCCAAAGAAGGCCAAGGTTCCTGGATTCAACGACTTTGACAGCGAGGAGGAGAATCTTAAATTCGGTGGCGAAAGCGACGATGACGAGGATGATGAGGATGAAGACGACGAGGACGAGGAGATGGAGGAAGACAACCACGACGATGAGACCAAGACCACCAACTTGACCAGCTTCATCGACTCACTCGAGACAAAATCCAGCAAGCGCAAACAAGATGACTCTACGGGCTCTTTTTCGAAAAAGGCACGCAAGGCTCTTCGTGAGAGGACAGAGGCGTACGACGAGTCGGAATATAACCTTCAAGCACACCGCTCCGCGGTCGCACACTCTGCAAATGGTGTCAGCAACAAGAAAAAACTGGACATGCTCGACCTTGTCAATTCACTTCAAGATGAGGCTGGATTCAGCGGTTTGAAGAAGAACATCCAGGCACTGGAGAGTGGTCCCAAGAAGGGAAAGGCTGTTGAGACCCTGGCAGCACCTCTTCCAAAGATCGTTCAGGATCGTTTGAACCGTCAGGCCGCTTACGAGGAAGCCAAGAAGGAGGTCACTAAGTGGTTGCCAATCGTCCAGAAGAACCGTCAAGCAGAGCACCTTGCCTTCCCCATGAACGCACCCCCAGTGGAGGCCCCCTCAAGTTCGACGCTCGCTAGCAAATTCAATGCATCAACAGCGATGGAGAAGGAGATTCAGGAGGTCCTAATCGAGGGTGGTATGCAAGAAAAGAAGCTGATGGAGTTTGAGGAGTTGGCGCTGAACAAGATGACGACGGAGGAGGTGGAGAAGCGACGCGCAGACCTCCGCATGATGCGTGATCTCATGTTTCGCGAAGAACTCCGAGCTAAGCGCGTGTCGAAGATCAAGAGCAAGCTGTACCATAAGATCAAGAAGAGGGAGCGTGAACGTAATGCCCTGACCACCGAGGAGATGAAAGAGCTGGACCCTCAACAAGCACGCGAGGAACATATGCTGCAGGAGCAGAAGCGCGCCCAGGAGCGCATGACCTTGAAGCACAAGAATACGGGCAAGTGGGCCAAGGACCAGCTCAAGCACGGCAACTTTGACCCCGAGTCCCGACAGGCGATCACGGAGCAGATCGAGCGCGGCGAACGACTAAGACGTAAGATTCAGGATGTGGACTCGGATGAAGAGGATTCCGGCGGAGAGAGCGAGTACAGCGATTTCGACGACGATGATATCGAGGGCGTTAAGGCCCGTGCATTCGATGAGCTGGCGCAGGTCGAGGAGCAGCTCGCAAAGGATCAGGATGCAGCTCTGGAGGCTAAGGTCGGCAAGGGTGTGTTTGCGATGAAGTTCATGCAGGATGCTGCTAAGAGGAGCAAGATGCAAGCACAGATTGCTGCTGAAGAGTTCCGTAAGGAGATGATGGAGGAAGATGAGCTGAGGGCACAGTCGAGCGAGGATGAGTGGAAGTCTGTGTCCAAGGGTAGCAAGAAAGCTGCCAAGAAGGCCGCCAAGGAGGCCGAGGCTGGAACTGCTATTGGTACCTCAGGAGGACGAATGGTGTTTGGCAATGCTGATGCCACACCCGTCCAGGGAGATAAGGCCATCATTGCTGCACCTGAAAAGGCGGTCAAAATGAACAGCGCAGGGCAAATTAGCAAGGTGGCACTTTCTGGAGGCCATTCGACTAAGGTTGCAGGACCTGTTAACGTCAAGATTGCAGGATCAAGCCTCAAGTCTACTGCGCAGGATGGCAATGACTCGAATGGGCAGTCTGCAAACCCATGGCTGGAGACGGACAAGCACGGCCAAGGCAAGATTGCTCGCAAGGGAGATAAGGGCATGAAGAAGGACAGCTCGAAGGCAGACAAGTTGCAGGGCAGGCTTAAGAAGCAAAAGGCAGCCGAGGCGGGATCGGATGACGAGGTCCAGATTGATACCAGCTCATACCTGACTCTAAGCAAGGACAACCAGAAGGAGCATGGACTGAACAAGGATTCGGACAGCAGCGACTCTGATGAGAGCGAGGAAGAATCAATGCCATCAGAACCAGTAGCGGCTGCATCGAAAAAGAGCAACAAGAAGGTCACAAAAGCAACTACATCGGCAGTATCGGCAACAGTAGGGTCAGGCGATGAGGACGACTCGGATGCTTCTGAGGCTGAGCCGGTCATGGTGCACGCCAAGACGGCAGCGGCGCTTTCTCAGCGCGATTTGGTGGCTCGTGCATTTGCCAACGACAATGTCGTGTCCGAGTTTGAGAAGGAGAAGATGGAGGTGATGGAGGCCGAGAAGCCTAAGGACGTTGACTTGACACTCCCAGGATGGGTAAGTTACTGTCTCTTGCGGAGCATGAGATACTCTACCTGTGTTAAGTGTGGAGCCCAGAAAACTAACCTCTATCTACTCCGTTGCTCCCAACTTTTATTTTTCTCTCGAATAGGGCTCATGGGGTGGCAAGGGCGCGAAGAAGAAGAAGAACGTTGTGGTGAAAAAGGCCCAGCCCGGCGAGGGTATCGAGGCCAGCAAGCGTAAGGATGCGAAGCTAGCGCATGTAATCATCAACGAGAGGCGGGACAAAAAGGCGGCAGCGTATGCGGTGACAAGGATCCCACATCCTTTCAAGACGTGGGAGCAGTACGAGCAGAGTCTGAGGGCACCAGTGGGCAAGGAATGGAACACGAACTCGACGTTCCAGAAGATGACCCTACCAAGGATCACGACCAAACTGGGCAAGATCATCGATCCTCTTACGGCACCGTTCAAGTAGACATTCGTTTTTGGATACATTATCATTCATCTAAATTTGCATGCACGTCTTTTTTTGCTTCCCTTTTTATCAACTCTTACTGCATCTTTTCCTACATTGCTATCATTATTAAAGTAACCTCACTACTGAATTAGACGAGGCATTGGAGGCATGAACGCTTTTTTTGCAGTCCAGTCCTAAAGGTATGATCATTGCATTGAATAGAGGGATATCAATTCATGACTCCATCCTGCAGGCGGCCTCTTTGGGTTACGGATGGGCGGGTATCGGGCACCCGGTGCTGCCATCGATCTTCAATGCCTTACCCCGAAAATGCTTCAAGAACTTTTTTTGTCGATGGTTGATCTTTGGTCGCTTCCTATCGTTGTTTTCGTTGACACACCTATCCCCAATACACAGTTGCAGCCCGTCCGCGAAGAGCTTTTCTTTCTGGGGTGTGGTATTCGCAGGATTGCTTGGTGTATCAACCATCTCGCCCCTGTTACCCTGCTGGTCCCAGATCTGTAGAGCGCAAAAAAAAGGAAGAAAAAGATAAAGATGAAGAAAAAAAAGAAGACAAGGATTAGTGTATCAAGGCATAGATAATAGGTATGCGAGAGAAGCAAGAGACGATGATCACGGGTGGTAGATGTTCAGTTACCATCTGGTCCCTAAAGACAAGTTCAGTGCATCCCTTGGGCACGGGTCTTTCGATATACCCATCATCCCCATACAACACCAATTCGTCCCACTTTGGCTCCGTCCTTCCTCCCTTCTCATTGCCCCCATGGGGTTTACCACTGCGGTTCTTTGGATCCTTTCCTGGGTCGGTATCGATCCCCAGATTGATGCCTAACAAGTTCCCGAGAAATGTTATCGCGTCCACATCATCCTCAGGCTCCATACCTTGGTCCTGTTGCTGCTGTTGTTGTTGCTGTTGTTGCTGTTGCTCGTCCGAGGGCTTGGGAGTGTCATTGATGAAGTACCTGGTCTTGGTGTAGACAATTCCCTTCCCGACGGGATAGGTTTGCTCATCTGTGGTGGGGATCGCGCCTGCAGTGAACACGTTGTCTGCAGAGATAAGGACTGACTGTGGTGACGAGGAGGAGGGGCCTTGGGCGGACTCGGCCTGGGTGCGGATGAGGAGGGAGAGTGTCATGGTCGTGAGGAGGATCAGCGTTGGAGAGCGCATGGTTGTCTGGGCTTGGATGTGAAAGTGCGTAGAAGAAAAAGAGGAGGAGGAGGAGGAGGAGGAGGAGGAGGGGAAGGTAGGATGGAGCGGGTGTGATATTAAAAGTCAGCGAGAGCGAGAGAAAGAGAGAGGGAGCATGGCCATTAATGTGTTGGATAGCGATGAGTGTGTGGCATGTTTGACGTTCCCCCCAAAAAAGACGCGTTCCAGAGTCAGCCAGAAAAAAAGAAGGAAGAGAGAGCTTTTGACGGGATAGTGAATAGGATGGTGGTTTTCCCCATCATCAAGGGTAACTATCTTCCGCAAGGGCACTAAGATTCCTAATTCCCTGGAACTATTCTGAGCCGTCAAGGTGTACAAATGCATGCATGCACAACAACACAGCCCCCCTCATCTTGCTCCGTCTGACTAAGCTTGGAGGCTCGGTTTTCTGTACCAAAAGAATAGCGCCACAGCTTTCATCCCCTCTACCCACTGCGTCTACCAGTTCATAGTGTTGTGCGGCGCATCAACTCCGGAGAGGAAACCACTCTTGGTGATGTATAACTTTGGACATGATCAAGGCTGTGAGCGTTTACGGCACAGTCGAATGTATCAATCCAGACGGCCCGTCGTTCTGTTGTGGCAAAATCGTAAATCGCAGGAGCCTCGGCCCTCATGAAGCCGCAACCGCGCCTGCCTCGCACCTTTTCCCTGGATGGGTGGATTGCAAGTTCTTTTCTTCCTGAAGTTTTATTACAAACGAATTTGTAGAACATGCTACTTATATAAGATGGATGGGCAATGAAAATAAGAGAACGAAACTGTACATAGGATGTGCGATGCACTCGCATCTTTAAGCGACAATGATGCGCATCGTGTTCGTGTTTCCATATCCCGAGCGGAATCCCTGGATCACAATAACGGGCTCTCCACGCTTCAACAATCCGACCTCGATCGCCTGATCCATACCCCACCGCAGTCTCTTGTCGACATCCTCCTGCCAGTCTGCAACCTTGGGTTCCTTATAAATAAACGGATAGCATCCACGCGACAAATGGATCGCGCGTGCCGTCGACTCCTTACGGGTCACAATGATGATGTTGGCCTTGGGACGGTACTTTGAGACCAGACGGGCAGTGTCTCCCGAGGTCGAGAGAACAACGATGGCCCCAGCGTTCTGCTCGTGTGCGGCAGAGACCGCGGAGGAGGCAACGGTCTCGGTCGTCTCCGTGGGACGCTTCTGGAGCATGCGGAGCTCGTTGAACAGAGGTGGGTAGCAGATCGCTGACTCGGCCAGGATGCAGGTCTCGTCCATGGTGCGAACGGCCTCCAGAGGGTAGGAGCCCTTGGCGGTCTCTCCGGACAACATCACACAGTCAGCTCCGTCCAAGACAGCGTTCGCCACATCCGAAACCTCAGCACGCGTTGGACGGGGGTTGTACTATGGGATATGGAGACAATGGAGAAAAATGATCAGCAACTTGATTCCTGGAGTGGCACACTATGTAACATAAAGAGTGATGAATTGACTTACAGTCATGGACTCCAGCATCTGGGTGGCACAGATAACGGGCTTGCCAGCGAGATTGCACTTGGAGATCATCATTTTCTGGGCAATAAAGACCTGTGCGCATGGAATTTCAATACCCAGATCACCACGGGCGACCATGACACCGTCCGTGACCTCCAAGATCTCGTCAAAGTTCTTGACTCCCTGGTGGTTCTCGATCTTGACAATAATGCGAATATGCTTTCCCTCCTCACCCAGGACCTTACGGATCTCGCGAACATCATCCGCGCGACGGATAAAGGATGCAAAGACGATATCGACATTGTTCTTGACACCAAACAACAAATCTTGCTTGTCCTTCTCCGAAAGAGCCGGCAGATCGACCTCGGTCTTGGGCAGATTCACACCTTTGCGAGAGCACAGCTTGCCATTGTTGATAGCCTCGACCTTGAGGTGATCGTCCTCGACCTCCAGGACCTTGAAGGACAAGACACCGTCGTCAATATAGATAACCTTGCCCGGGACCATGACCTTGGTCAAGTTCTTGTAGTCAAGGTACATGACCTCGCCTGTACAGCTCTCTGCATATTTGCTGTCGGTCGAGAAAATCATCTGGTGACCGGCCGTGATAGGGATCTCAACATCGTCCTTCATCAACCCTGTGCGGATCTCTGGGCCCTTGGTGTCAAGAGCGATACCGACGGGGCGTCCAGGGTGCTCTAATGGTTTGCAATACGATGTAGTTCGGAAATAGTCGTGTTTAGTCGGCTGCGTTTAATGCATGGCTGCAGCATGACGATATGTGAGAACATTTCCGATCCTGTGGCATCCTCTTTCTCGGAACGGAGGATATTGCCAGCATCAACAAATGAGGATGTAGCGTTCGGGCCTCGTTTTGGAAGGTAGTACGCGCAATGCGGGCAATCAAAAGAAACGGGGGGGGGGCTGCAAGACAATGTGAGAGCCAAGATGCACGATGATAATTTATGTGAGAGAGATAAGAGCTGAAATTACAGCCATCTTTGATCCCTCGTCGGACGATCTATGGCAATCCACGCTCAACCCACCAAAACATCTCTGGTGTTTTCCGAGAGAGCCACGCCCATGCACATTCAAGCAAAAAAAAAAAAAAAAAAAAAAAAAAAAGAATAGTGCCCAAGACTGTAAAAGAGATCAGAAGAGATCGATGAAATGCTTACCGAGACAGCTCTGGCGGGTGTTATCGATGACAGACTGGTGATACTCGTATGATCCGTGAGAAAAGTTCTGAAACAGTGACAGGAAAAAAAAAATGAAGATCGCAGTTAGAAAACTCATCGCTTGTCCACGTCTACTGACCCATTGACTAAGTGCCGGTGCTCTGTCAAGGGTCCATGCTATTTCTATTCAATCCCTCCCCCCTTCTTCTCTCTCCCGCCCCCCAGGTCTTCTTATCTCCTTTGGATTCAAACAAAATGAGCTAATTAGACCTTGGTTCTCCACTTTTCAAGCTTCGCGTCAAAGAGCGTTGCAATTGAGCTCCAACGCCGCGGTTACAGATCTTCCAGAGACAATTCTGATGACGAGAAAGGCTTGCTACTCACCATGCGGACAATGTTCATTCCAGCGTCGCGCAACTTGGTGATCATCTCCACAGAGTTGGTCTTGGGGCCTGTTTCGAGCAAAATTGAATAAACTTGTCAGCAAAGGATGATCATGATACAACGATAGAATCATTGCGAAAGTCCCTTTGTCGTCATGAAGGGATCTTACCAATGGTGCAAATGATGGAGGTCTTGCGGGTGTTGCTGGGCTGGAAATCGATATCGAGGGATGAGGTCCACTCGAGGTTGGTCTTGATGCTATCGTCGGACATGGCTGTTGTTTTGAAGTCGAGAGGAAGGGGTTAAAGTATAAAGGCCTTGAAAGGTGAAGGTTGAATGAGGTGAATGAGGAAAGAAAAAGAGAATGAGAACGAGCGAAGGAAGGGCTTCCTGCTTTTTATACCCTCCGCCCCATGGCAAATGCTATTTTGTTTTTCTGGATGTGCCCCGTTCGCATTTGCACCCCAAAAATCCGCCAAAGCAAAGCACACGTTCCCTCCAATTCGTTCGTCTTCGCCGTCCAAAGCCCATTCATTCCATCTCTCGATCCCCTTCATGTATAATATGAGTTGTCTACAACCAGGGGGAAAAAAAAGGTCGCCCTCTATCAAGGCCCACGCTATCTTCTAAAGGGCCCATGTCCTCGCTATGTTTCCCTGTCCGAGGAAGGGAGCCCAGTACCAGGGCAACATCACTTTGCTTATCTCTGAGCGTTGTGGAGCGGCCCCAAATTCTATTTCTTTGATACAATCTTATCAGAACCTGCAGCTCAGCTGGGCGTCATTCATTCTGAACATGAAAGTCAGACACGATAGCGAGATGCACCCTAGTCTATCCTGCTGCTATACCCGCTTTGGGACGTTCACGATCCACGTCCCACACCGCCATCGTCATCGTACATTGTCCATGCAAGGAAAGATAGTGCCTTGTGGTATATTGTTGAATAAAGTCGGAGAACCGGAAAAACGTTCTTTGTTTTTTATTCTTTGTACGCTGCATACAACGTGGACACTGTTGATCCATCGAGAACTTTTATTTCAGCAAAAGCAAAGCCAATACGCCTTCCTTGGTTGTGACATTGAGGACGGCTCAACGTACATCAATGCCCGCTGCAGCCGATTCAGTTGCTCAACATCGACAGCGCGAAGGTGACAAAAAAAATTCTAACAGCAACTAGGTCCATGGTCGGAAACAGACGTGAATATCACCGTCAGTAATCGATCGAGCACCACCGAGGTTCATATCAACTGCCATTGGACATCTCTGAAAGGCATGAGTGCGTTCAAGAGGTAGCCGCAGGACCCTTCAAGAGCTCCTTGTGTATAGGTGGACCAAGCATGTTGGGCAAGGTGGATCGAATTTGGTAGGTGTGACTGCATCGGGCCTCATTTGTTTACCTCTCGTGGGGGGCAAGGGAGCGATCACAACGGGACTCGCTCAAGCTCATTCGCATCTCTCGGACGACTCGACTGCCGACACGGATCCCGCCTTGACACCATCGTCTGTTGTTTTATTGAAAGAGAAAATAGCAGGAACCAATACACGCCATGTTGTCTACCATCTCCCGCCAGGTCCTCAGAGCCACCAGCACCCGCCGACTTCAGTCTGTTGGCAGCCTCAGGTACAGCTGATGCCAACTTCGTGGACCCAGGTCCTCCTTCGTCTTCTCTCGGCGCCAAGAACCAGGCACCAGGCACCATATCCATGTAACAAGTCGCGTATTTGAAAGCACTGACTGACAATGCTCATTGGAAACTTATAGATACTATGCCAGCGACAACCATAACGAGGACAGCAGTAGCAGCGGCAGCAATAACAACAACACGAATGGCAAATCCGAAGGCGCAGAGGCACTTATGAGCATCCTTTCGTCCTCATCCTCCTCAGCATCACAGCCAGATCGCGCCAACGCCGGCAACGTCCTCAAGGGTAACAGCGCCGCCCTCATCCTCGAGACCCTCACCAAGGCCACGGACCGTCAACAGCAAGCGTCTCGCCCCTCCAATCTCCTGAACTCGAAGTCTCCCCTCGGCGGATCCTCGGGCGGACGTCACTTCCTGAGCGAGTCCCAGACCTGTACTCACAACCTTCACATTCACGCCTCGATGAACAACACCATCATCACCTTGACAGACTCGAACGGCGACCCCATCACGACCCAGAGCGGCGGATCGGCGGGATTTAAGAAATCGGCACGTTCGGGACCGGAGGCCGGTTACCAGGCCATGACCAAGTTGATCGAGAAGGTCGATGAGAAGAACGTGCAGATCCAGACATTGCATGTGTTGATGAAGGGATTCGGCCCGGGCCGTGATTCGGCGTTCAAGGCGATCCGTGCGAAGACCAACTGGGATATTAAGAGGATATCCGATACCACGCCCATTCCTTTCAACGGATGCAGGCCACCCAAGCAGCGTCGTTTGTAAGGGAGCCTGTTGTAGGATGAGAGCATAAGGAGAAGGCACAGGATGAAGGCACGCAAAGGCGGACGAAAGCAAATGAGAGGGGAGCGTTGGACATAGATATTGGCGACGAGGGTTCAGTGTAACCCTGAGCTATAGCAATAAAAAAAACATCATATCACATCACATCTTGAAACCAAATGGGGGAGGGGGACATGAAGGGCAATGGCTAGTGCTAATGCATCAAACCAGATCGTGTGCGACCGCTGCTTTGAGACCTGATGGTTTGTGTATACCAAGATCAGCGTTTGGTGGAGTATGAAGGACATGGCGCCGCGCTCCAGCACTTTTGTTCTATGAGATATACTATAGCAGACGTCTTTTGGGCCATTCATCCTGTTCTTTTTTTTTTTTTTTTTTTTGGTGTTTGAAATGCCGGCCCCCCCCCCTCCTCCTCCTTTTCCCCCTAAAGGTTGATATTGGCCTCGATCTCTCTATGACACAAGTATTATAGCTCTTCATCAACTTCTCGAACCAAGAGGTAAATAATAGATTCTATAGTAAGCTATTAGCATCGTCTGGACCATCTCTTTACAGTCGGTTCACCACCACCACCAAAAAAAAAAAAAAAAAAAAAAAATTGTTCGTGACAGTAGAAAGTTTCCCAGCACAATAAATGCAAAGGGCCGTTCGATAAAACTAGCCCTACACATGAAATCGAGATCGGACCTGTGTGAACGGAGCTATATCTACGATCTTTTTGACAGATCGTATGCAGGGAGCTGGGTTTTGAGATCAGATCATGGGTGGTGTAGAGAGGGGAGAAAGGGAGGGGGGGAGGCAGGTAGAGTGCAGTGTAACATACATGTCATCACTGCGGAACTATCTAAACAACCCATTATCCGGGCTCGATCGATAAAAAAGGGTGAATGGGCGAGCGCTCTACAGGAATTCAGATCGTGTGCGGTTCCATCTTGTTACACTACAGCACTTGATACGCGAAAAAAAAAAAAATCCTTTCAGAAGTGTATGCTTGAATATATGATGGGTTGGCTCAGTGCTTTATTCTATAATATATGTACAACAGCGCTTGTGCATAGACGATCGATCTTTCAAAGGTCGACTCGTATGAAAAAAAAAATAGTTAAAAGTTCATCTCTTAAAGACGGGAAGCAGCCTCGGTCTCCATGACGATTCTGTAACGGGGGCGTCCATCCATCATATGCTTGACAGCAGCGTTGGGGTCGCTCATGGGCCTCTTCTCGATCCAAGGACGGATATTGTGCTTGGCTGCAAACTCCAGCATCTCCTGGACAGTCTCCTTGCCTCCGATCAAAGAACCAGCGATCGAAACGTTACGCGAAATCAGGGAGTTGGCAGGGATCTGCAAAGGATCCTCGGGCAGGGCCAAGAGAACCAACTTTCCGTGGGTTGCAACCAAAGACAGGACCTTCGCCCAGTCAGTGTCGGTAGCGAAGCTGGTGCAGATGAGCAGATCGATCGAACCGGCGGCAGCCTTCATGTCTTCGGGCTTCTTGGAGCTGAGGTGCGATTTAAGAGAGATGGAGATGAATGTTAAAACCACTGGGTCCAAAAAAAAAACTAAGTTTTCATGGCGCAACAGGACGATTACAAAGAAAGACTAAAAAGACTTACTTGATAAACTTGGTGGCGCCCAACTTCTTGGACTCTTCACGCTTGTTATCGCTGGTAGAGACTGCAACGACTTCGTCGCACTTCAAAGCATGGGCCCATTGGATGGCCAAGTGTCCGAGACCACCGATACCGATGACACCGACGGTCTTGCCGGGGCCAGCCTTGTGAATCTTCAGAGGAGTGTATGTAGTGACGCCGGCGCAAAGAAGAGGAGCAGCTATTTTTTTTTTTAAAATGAGCCAAAGGTCAATTAGTCAATGTATCAAGACCCCAGTCTTGAAGATCAGATTATTTCATGAAAACAATATCCACATACCCTCAGCAGCCGAGATCTCGGAAGGAATCTTGAAGACGAAATCGCTGTTGACACGGACACGATCTGCGTATCCTCCATAGGACTGTCCTCCGCGGCCGTCCTTGAATGTGTCGTTGTAGGTGAAACACTTCTTGGTGCAGAACTGGTCGTTATCGGACTTGCATTGATTGCACTCGCCGCAAGCATCGACCATGGCACCGACACCGACCAGATCGCCGACCTTGTGATGACTCTTGTTACCGGCCTCAACGATCTTGCCGACGATCTCGTGTCCAGGGATGCAGGGGCCGTTCTTCAATTCACCCCAACCTCCGGTGATAGTGTGGATATCAGAGCCGCAGATACCGCAGTGCGTGATCTCGATCTCGACATCCTTGGGTCCAATTGGACGAGGGTGGTAGCTAAAGGGCTTGAGGTTGGGGGTACCGGTCGAGGCCCAACCGTTGAAGGTGACAGAGGTATCCTCAGAAACTTTGACGTCAATTGGCATGTTTGGTTATAAGTTGCGGTTGGAAAATGAGGAGAGAAGAGTGTAGAAAAGTAGGGTTGTTTGATGGAGATTAGGAAGTGTGGTTCTCAGCAAGGTATTTATACTAGCAGCTTTTTTTTTCAATGAAGATGACACCACACTGCAAGCGGCACTTCAAACTGTAATCTGCTGTTGTACTGAATGCATGGAGTAAAGACCGAGCCGAAGAGAGAAGAAAAAACAGAACTACTACTACTATTACTACTGAGGAGCTCCTGAGTTTCTGATTGCCTCCGAAGGTTTGGCGAGATGCTCAAACAACGAGGTCATAGACTATTTGGAGCATCATTGTGGATTATTAAGCCTTCTGCTATGGCCGTTTTGGGTGTTTCAAATTGAGTTTGAACGCGTTAAGGAATTAATTCTTTCCTGTGAACCCACCACTCAACAGCGATCATGACCGTACTGTTCGATCACTTCCTGGGGCCTCCCACCCATTCGTGCGCACTCTCTAAATGACTATCCATTCCTGTCCGGATAAATCATATCCGGCTCTGGAAAAACCCCCTATGGTATTGCCAAATTGATTCTCCACCGCACTCCACTTCCTAGACCATGTACTGTACCGTCTCTTGCTCTCCCCTCTTGCGCTGCGCTGTCGGAGCGAATGGTCGATTGAGTGTAACCCCCCTCCCCACGCGATCGTTGCCGCAGCCGTAACTCAAATACATACAGCGTCCACCTCTAATACAGTACCTGAGAATCCACTACTCGGGGTACCTAATTGCTGGCCTGCGCAGCTTGGATAGGCTCCGCCTTCATAGGACGTATCCAACGTACTACTAGCAGTCGTATACCTTTTACTTTTGACACCCAAGGGGCCATTATCGAATCACACTTATTGCCGTCATAACAACAACCGCTCCAAAGCTATCTCCCATGTTTACATAAAATAAAATGAAAAAACTGCGAGATGGCGCACATTAGACGAAGAATACAAAATGAGCGATAGGTTGATGTTGACGCTGACATGGTATCTCCAGAAGCAACTATGAAGGTATAACAAGTAGTAAACGGCCCCGAAGAGTAGCGAGCACTCTGGCGGGCCAGTCCAGCAATTTTTATCGTGCACAGATGTCTAGGGATTTGTCCCCCCTCTCCTCCTCCCCCTCCCTCCCTCTTCTTATCTCTCACGATCCCTAAACCTGATGTCAGCTACTGGATCTCTAGACTACATCCGTGTGATTGGGAAGGGTCCACATAGTCTACAATTGTCCGCCTCCTTCCGCTATAAAGTCCGCACGACATGAATGTAGTACGCGGCCCAACTCTAAAGAACCCTTCCAATGAGGGGATCGCTTTGAAGGTACACCACACCGGCGCTTCGGACACTGTGGTTGTGATCGATATCCACGGGCAGCCCTGTACATGTACATGAACATGTACGTGTTGGTTTTTTTTTTTTTGTAAGCAACAACAACAACATCTATGAACGAATTGGATCAATGTCTGTACAGTCCACATTCGGGTTCGAATTTTTTTATTACCACCAAAATACAACATCAAGTCGCTCAACCTTTGGATGCAGGAATCATCCGCTCATTCAAAGTGAAATATAGTCGGCATATGATTTGGGGTTGTATCTAGGTGTTGACGAGAATCAGAATCTGGCAAGACCAAAAAAAAAAATCCCTAATAGTTTGCTGTGGCTATGCCTTGGGACGGTGTGACAACGTCCATTATTCGCTGCTGCTTTGCCCACATCCCCACTATGCCTACACTCCTTTTTGCGAAATAGCTCACATTTCATAGGAAAAGTGGGCTATTTTACTGAATCGAAAATCATAAACAATGCTATTCACTTTTGTGATGGCGGTGACCCTACCTTATATCCTCGCATATCTTTGTGTCATGCTCGCTTTTTCCCTCTCTCACTTTTCCCCGAAATGGGTGATCCGTAAATCCAAGTAGAAATAACGTTAAATGTTCGATCACATCATGAGGACTATTCAGTCGAGATTTTATTTCTGCTTGGATTTACGGATCACCAATCGTGCTGCTTTTCGGGGAAAAGTAAGAGAGGGGATATAAGTGAGCATGATACGCAGATATGCGCGCAAACACTGCGAGGATATAAGGTAGGGTCACTGCTGTCGCAAAAGTGAATAGCTATGAAATGTGGGCTATTTCGCAAAAAGGAGTGTAGAGAAATACCGGATCGCCTACAAACAGCCTTCAAGGATGAAAAAGACTATGAGATGGAGCAGCTCAAATAAGAGCTAATCAAACAGCAGACGGACTTTGGTGTACTCGCATACCTCAAGTGTTGCATGGGGAAAGGGCCTACGCTTCAGTTCATGGATGCCATCAAGGGTGTCTCGACGAGCGAGGAGTTCAAGAGGTTCTTCCTACCTACCCCTCCTCCTTCCCCCCTGGGAGTGTAGTCCTAGCTGACGAGGACCAGGAGGATGAAGTCGAGGATTATTCTTTACAGAATAATGACGAGAAGGATCCCAAACAAAAACGTTGTGGAGCCACTCAAAGAGCAGTGCTTCTCGACGTATCATGGAACGTCGGTCTGGTGGTCATGAGATGGAACCTCCGGCAGACGTGAGTTCTTGCTTAAGAATCGAGCGTTCTTGAAGAAGAATCGTATGGTCATGTGGCACTGTATTTTCTTATAGAAAAAATAGAAAGAGAGAGATGTGCTGCTTTTCGCCGGTGTCCCAGCCTGCACAGTCGTTTGCTCGTAGTATTGCCACAATCGTCTATTGTGCGACGTGATGGCACTGTAAGAAAATTCGGCCCGTTGGAGCATTAAAAACGCACCAACTACGTCAGCAAAAGGCGACGCCATAGAATTTTTTTGGTGAGCATAAGCAAATACATGCAGTAAAAGAATTTCGGCGTGCAATAACAGAATTATGCAGCTTTAGGATATAAATTACACCTACCGATCATTTTTAAATGTGCTTGCGAACACATATATGGTTGAGATGGGGTTTAGGCACTTCCTGGGGCCTGGCTAGTTGCCGATTCCTGCCCTGATGCCGCATTGGCCGCACGCTTGCGCCTTGGAGCTCCTTCTTGTTCTGCAGCCGCGGTTGATGCTGTCCTCTTTCGGGCCACACTGCCCTTGCTGGCGCTGGTGCTGCTAGTACTACTGGTGCTATTGGTGCTGCTAGTGCTACTGTTACCATTGATGCTGCTGCTACTGGTGCTCGCGCTATCGGTTACTGTCTGTGTAGCTTCCATCCAAGGATATCTACCATTCTCATCTACAGGCTGAAGATAGAGTGGCCTCTGTTGCTGAAGCAAGTGCCCTTGAATAACGTTGCAAATATTGTGGCCCGCCATGATATCGCGGTGCATGTATGTCTTGCAAGTCTTGCAATACAGCCGACGTATTTGAACCTGGCCGACAAACTCCTCGCACATCGGACACTTCTTTGACGTGTAGTACTCATTGACGCCCACGACAATATACCCGAGCGCCCTTGCCTAACGGACACAGAACGTAAGGCGCCTCATTAGCGTCATCAGTAGCTTTTTTTTTTTTTTTTTTAAAAAAAAAAAAAAAAAAAAGAAATCGAATGTCTTGCAATGGAGCACTAACCCTTTGAACAAAGTACGACTGGAAGGACTCATGTAACGAGGAAAGTCGTCTCGTGGATGAAAACTTGCCTAGATCAATACCGATTACAACCTTGTCCTCTTCATCTCGCTGTCTACCAAGCGATCCTCCAACCATATTGAGCAGGCGATCTGCGATGATGTCGAATTCTGCCTCTCTAGCTTTTCTGGCATCCCACTGGTGCTTTTTGAATGTGGCGCTTTTGTTGTAGAACTCGTCGAGCTGCTCCTTGACGCCTGCTAATCCCGCAACGTACTTTTCAACGCTGGCATCCTTTCCGCGAAGGGCTGGTAGCTCGCTTTCGATGTTGCTGATAGATTTTGCTGCGCCTAGCGGGATCGACCGTTTGCGTTCTTCTAACCAACGTCGAAACTTGAATGTTGGTTGGTATACGGCCTTCTGCTTTACAGCTAGGTTGTAAAAGACCTGGGAGCTGCGGGCGGAAGCCTCGGTGTCATTGTCATTGTCAGGTTGTTCGGTACCGACGGCACTGTTCTGTTGATGGAAGCTCCCCTTGGATCTCGGCATACTCGCTCCTGTAACACATGCTTGCTCTGGATTATAACTGTCGTTGCGTGGCTTTCCATTTTCGAGGCTGACGGATTTTTTCATGTCATCTAAGGTCTTCTCAGGCAATAGAGCGCTCGCTCCAACCACAAACGCTTGACCAAGATCGAGACCTAATATCTTGATTTTCTCTGGTTCACAGTCCCAAAGAACTGCGACATCCTGCTTCGTCTTGACAACGTTCCGAACCTCAGTTAGGTAGTAGTCGACTCCACCCACAGTGGACGTAATCCGAGAAGGCAATATGTCCGTGGGATGCCGCCTGTACCGAACCGAGAGAAGCTCCTTCAGCTTGAATGCCGTTAACTGGAGACGAAAGCCATCGGTCCGAATAGATCCGCGAATAACGTAACCGCGTTCCTTATAAGTGCGGGGGTCGAAATCCTCGTTCTGAATGATTCTCAGGTGCTCTTTGATCTCTGCAAGTGAAGGTGTCGCGAGGTTGTTGAATGATTTGCTGATTCCGGGCATGCGACGCTTTTTATGACCCAGTCCTGCGTCGGTGATGAGTGTCGTGAGGAGGTAGCCTGGTGCTTGGTTGGCCAGCCAGTACGACATGTCAGACAACGCAGGACGATAGTCCTTGGCTCCATGAAGACTCTGCAGCTTCGCCTTGAGTGTGTCGCTCTTCCAAAAGATTGAAATCAATTCCAGCTCCGTGAACGCGACGAACGGCTGCGCGGAAGGCGTACACGCCATTAACTTCCGAGGGTTCTTGGTCAGCGGGTTCAGACGGTAAAAGTTCTCGACCGCAGAGACGTCGCCACGAATGTCAATGCATGTCCCAGCCGGCAAGAGCCCTTTGACCAGTTGTTTCTTGAGCTGTTTTAAAGTTGCCGTGTGTAAGGTTCGAGTTAGCGGAATAGAACTTGTAACCTTGAACCTTGTGTCCCTTGTATGTACATGTACATATGTTGTTCCCCCCTCTCTTTTTTCTCTCTTTCTTTCTCCCCATTTCGCCACAGAATACCTTCACTCTCAGTCATTCATTGTCTATGTCCAACATCGCCACTCCGGCATCCCTTACTCTTTCCTTCTCACATTTACCTTTTTATGGAGTTCCTTGCAGCCTTTTCCGTACAATCGCTTGAGATCAACCGACAGCTGCGCGATTA